CATTTTTCAAGTAACATTTTATTTATTTCATATTTGTGTCAAAATGTAATGGCTTCTCATATACTCATAACTCTCTTGCAGAAAACACATCTGCTAAGGGCTCAGTCTAGGTTTAGTACAGTCAGACCTCTTGTTACGTTTGCTTCATGATACAGTGGCACCTCGGGTTAAGTACTTAATTTGTTCCGGAGGTCCGTTCTTAACCTGAAAATGTTCTTAACCTGAAGCACCACTTTAGCTAATGCGGCCTCCCGCTGCTGCCGCGCAGACAGAGCACAATTTCTGTTCTCACCCTGAAGCAAAGTTCTTAACCCGAGGTACTATTTCTGGGTTAGCGGAGTCTGCAACCTGAAGCGTACCTAACTCGAGGTACCACTGTACGTTTTTTCAGGTTGCGTCCTGCGGCGACCCGAAAGTACCGGAAAGCATTACTTCCAGGTTTCGCCACTCGTGCATGCGCAGATGAACAAAATGATGTCACGCACATGTGCAGAAGCAGCGAATTGCGACCCGCGTGTGCACAGATGCGGGTTGCGTTCCTTTCTGGTTGCGAACGGGGCTCCAGAATGGATCCCGTTAGCAACCAGAGGTACCACTGTATTCATTGTCACAGTCCCAATAGTAAGGTCCAGCCCATTGCTCACTCCAGGTCTGGTGTCTGCTTCCAGCGTGGTGTAGTGGTTAAGAGCAGTAGACTCGTAATCTGGTGAACCGGGTTCGCGTCTCCGCTCCCCCACATGCAGCTGCTGGGTGACCTTGGGCTAGTCACACTTCTCTGAAGTCTCAGCCCCACTCACCTCACAGTGTGTTTGTTGTGGGGGAGGAAGGGAAAGGAGAATGTTAGCCACTTTGAGACTCCTTCGGGTAGTGATAAAGTGGGATATCAAATCCAAACTCTTCTTCTTCTTTTTCCACCAAAATCCGGTGGCACAGAAGGTGTTAATTCCTTATCAGTCCCATTTTAAAGCTTACAAAGGATGGGGATGAATCAAGGGTAATGGAAGGGTGGTTACAAATGTGGGGGGAAATTATTTACACCCTTGTTTAAGGTAAGCTGACCTTGGCAAGGAGCAAGGGTTTTTGGTGATGGCAATGGGGCTATGGAATGACTTGGACGCTTATTAAAGTGCATCCCTGATAAATGAATTTGTGAGCTGAATTTGTGAGCCGTTTGGACTTTTTTCTTGTTTGAAAATTTGTTTTTATTACTGATGGTTGCTATGATTTTAACTGCGGTTGTAAGCCACCTTGTGCTGCTATAGGATATACATATTTTTAAGTAAATAAAGAGTAACTTGGTTCTGACTCCATGTCTTACCTAGTGACCAGAACAGGCTCATACTAACCATTAGAAATCCATATTTGTCATGGCAAGCAAGCACAAACAAAGCAGTGTTTCAGAGTTGGCTGACATCTTGCCGTCCACTAGGTTTTTCCTTTCTACTTCGCCTGCAGAAAAGGTTGACTCTTTGCTGTGCAACACGTTTTGTTGGGATTCGCTGTGCAACACGTTTAGTTGGGATTTAGTCATTAGAAATTTTCAGGAAATAAATCAACATTTTCCAAGGTGGACTGTTCAAGAGGAATAAATATTACTTTCTCCTCATGTGTCAGGTGAGGTCTGTTTAAAAAGAGTCAGTCATAGCAGAAAGCTTATTGACAGTGTCAAGTCAGTTTCCTGTTGCGGTAAAAATGTCGAATTCAGCCTTGGAAATATTTGGGAAAGGGATTGAAAACAAAACTTCCAAGAGTTATTGCGCCTTTGAAGAGATTTGTGGAAATACATACAAAGCCCTAGATGACAACACCATGCCAAGCCACATTTGGAATATAAGTATATCTTATCGTGCTAGACTCTGTGCACTCACAGTGCCTCTGAACATTGCCTGTTCTCTCTAGTTACATAGGATACACAGGATTTGCTGTCAAAACTGGTTTCTAAACAATCATCATTGGCAGCCGGTCCCCCCTCCCCTTCTTCTCTGCCTAGCTGTCAGTTTTGCTGACACTGCTATTCATCTGAATGTAGAAAACGGCGGCAGACAAAATGCCAGGTTAATTTAACCGCATTGGGTGACATAGACATACCCCATGCATCTTCTAAGGATCTTTTCATGTGACAACTTTTTATCACCTGAATTTTTAGAACAGGAAGGTGAACAGGGTGCGCCTCAGAGGAAGGCTGGTGCTAGGGTGGTAGCTTTGATCCTGCAAGTTCATTTGAACTGGAAACAATTGGAATGCAGATCCACTAAATCATTTGAAGGTGATAGTAAAGCTGATTCTGTAATGTGACACTTGCAAATTATTTCTGCCTGGAAGTGTGCCTAGAAATGGCTGTGCCACAGAATGACAGACAGTTTCTAGTTGCGGTGATAGTTTCAGTTCTTCCTGAAGGATCTTCCAGCTTCAATCTGTAATATCTGGGAGCTGGTTCAGACAGCAATGTTAACTGTCCACATTTGTTTGTAGGTGATGGCCATGCCCATGGTTGTGCTTGTGTTGCTTCCAGCTTCTGTTGTGATTGTCCAGGATTACTTGGTCCACACATTCTGTCTGCCTTCATGAGCATAAATGTGGGGATATTTAAGACTGCTCACACAGGCAATTATTATTTCATCTATGCTGCCTATCTGGGATTAAATGGTGGTGGGAACATCTTGTCCCACTAATTTTGGGAGAAAGAAGTGATTGTTTGAGGTTGCACCATAATTCATGCAAAGTTCATGTAGGGCAAACAGCAGGTTACCAGTGCTGTGGGTGTGTGGTTTTCAAACATAAAAATTATACAGTAGAAAGAGTTAAACTATCCCTCTACCTAGTCCTGATTTTAGTTGGGGGGGGGTCTTCTTTCCTGATACCAATGTTTTGAAAGAAACTTGGGAAATCTTAGTCATGGATCTCACATATATTTAAACCATAACTGGGATTCTAAGTAACAAGGCTGCCTTTGCAGCCCAAAGGAAACTGTGCATTATCTTTGGGGTCACTTGCAATAGAAAACTCAGCTGCGAATTTTCTATAAGTTGTTCTTTCAAGCAATTCGCCCCCCCCCCCCATTTCTGAAAAGCACAGTTTGGGGGGAAATAACTGAATACTGAAAGGGCATGGGGGGGGAGGGTTGAGCACCTCCTCTCACCTACTGGTTCATCTCTGCAAGTCGCCCCCTCAGTCCCCACAATATGGTTATGAAGGAATCATAGGATTGGAAAATGCATGTTTCCAACATGATGTCTTGTTTGGCCTTTTGATATAAGAATTGGTGCTCCTCGCCTTTGCTTTTAAGTCAGACTGTTTGTCTGCTACACAGATAGCATGGCTATCTCCTTAGATCTCCAGAGTTAGAAAGTAGCCTGTAAAGTATAACTTGAAATCTCATATCCAAGCTTTAAACTCTTGTACCCAGGCAGCTCTTTGACAAAATTCTAAACATTTGTTTTCAAATTTAAATCTGCAGTGAGGGAGAGATTTCATAGATTGCTGAATGAATGAATGAATGAATGGTTGAATTAATGAATGAAATCTACTTGTTCACAGCCAATGGAAGTCACAATATGCACTTTGTTTTAACTTATTTGCTGTGCAGAGCGCTTGCAGTTCTTACTCTCACCAACTCTCTGAATTAGGTCACTCCTTATTACGGTGTCTAATTAATGCAGGCACTTTGGAACAAAAGAATTATTATGTGTTTACACATGGGGACATGAAGTTCAGGCTTTGTCAAACCCATCCTCTGAGTCCAGAGTCCATGGCTTTAGGTAAATGGTCAATCCACGTCTCTCCAGCCCATATTTAAGACTCTGTACACATTAGCAGCTTGAAATGCGATGAGCTCATCCCATCCCTGACCTCCCGCTGTGTTTCAAGTTGGATTCTTACATTGCTGTACTCGATGTCCCTTACCTGACTCTCCTGCACATGTGCAATGCCTGACTGAACTGTACACACCTCAGCTTAATTGGGGCTTCCATTTTCTAGCTGGTTTCAGGGAAAGCATATCAGACAGCTGCAGGATACATATGGATTGTGGCTAACATAACAAAGCCTAACACTTTATCCAGGAGGTGATACTGCAGTTCATTGAGGTCAATGTGCAACAAAGTTGTGAGATCCAATTGTCCCCCACAACTGAAATCATTTTCTTTTAGTCACAGTGCAAAAGGTTTCTTCTTTTGCAATATTTTATATATTGAAGCACACTTGTCAACTTCCACCTCTTTTCTAGCTATGCAATACCACCACCAACTTCCCTTAAAAAGGCATACATTGAAACACCTTTATGAGCTAGGGGACTCATCAGTCACAAGTCCAGTTATGCATAACTTGTAGCCAACCATACTGTAGGACATATATTTTTCATCATCCCTCAGTTGAAAATAGGTGTATTTTGCTTTGCATTATGTGAAAAAAAGTTCGCTTATACTGAGGGGCTAGAGAGTCAGATGCTAGAATTATGGGGTATCTGTTAGCTGACATCCACTGCCATAGAATTTTATAAAGAGGAAAGATCACCTAGAAAATCTTGAAAGTTACTTCATCCCACTTTGCAGAGCAAATTTATTTTAGCTCAACCTAGTCACCAGACTCTCCTTACTAGAGGGGAAGTGAGGTGTGTGCAGGCATCACACGAAACTGCCTTCTTCTCAACCCTTCAGCCCTCCGAGAGAAGAAGCAGAACACTACTAAGTCTTGTTCCAGCGTAAGCTGTCTTCTGCTGGAGAACCTATGTGAAAACTTGGTGGGGAAAACATACCTAACGTTTTCTGCATTCTGTACCCGGTTATCAGGTAGAAGCTTATTCCGCGCTCACACTCTCCTATTGCTGTTGCTGGTGTTTCAGAACGGATCCCTTGGACAGAGGCGGTTGGCGGGTATGTCCAAGGCCAAGGTTTCCCCAAGGTTGTAAATCAGCGCACAGGTAATTTCTGCCGCCTCGAGCCAATCGGACGCCCCGACCAAAGCGCCCAGCCAATGGACGGTCCCCGGGATGCAGGACTGCGATGAGGCTAGCGTGGCCAATCCGAAGCGGCCTCGGCTCCTGGCGCTCGCCCACCTCCTCCTATTCTGAGGCGGTGGGGAGGGCGCTTCAGCTGGTGGTGGGAGGGAAAGCGGAGGAGAGGTGGGGGGAAGCTTGGCAGCGCCGGAGCCAGACGAGAAGGCGGGCTGTGGTGGTGCCTCCTGCTCTTGCCGCGGCTGCCCTCTTCTTCCTCCTCTTCCTCTCTCTCGCTCTCCCCAACATGGCAGGGCTGGGCAGCAGCGGCGGCGGCGGCGCCTCCGCCTTCGGGCGCTGCACGCACGCCTTGGTGCGGGCTCTGCCCGAGTCCCTGTGCCAGCAGGCGCTGAGGCGCGAGAAGGGCAAGGAGGTGGACTTGGCGCGCGCCGAGCGCGAGCACCAGCTCTACGTCGGGGTGCTGAAGAGCAAGCTGGGGCTGCAGGTGCTCGAGCTGCCCGCCGACGAGAGCCTGCCCGACTGCGTCTTCGTCGAGGACGTGGCCGTCGTGTGCGAGGAGACGGCTCTCCTCACGCGCCCGGGCGCGCCCAGCAGGAGGAAAGAGGTACCGGGGCGGGGCGCGCTGTGAGGGGGCGACTGAGGAGGGAGGGGGCGCCTGCCTCCCTCTCTCTCTCTCCGTATATGTGTGACTCCCCCACCGCCACCTCTAGGGCGGGGGCCGCTGCAACTTCCCACCGTGGCCAAAGGAGTGTGGAGAGCGGGAAAGCGGGTTGGGTGGGAGAAGAAGCGCCTTGGTGGGCAGCATCTTGGGATGGGCCGCAGAGCGTTGGCAGGCTGCGCTTTCCTCTCAGCCGGACCTGAAGGGGAAGGTCGGGGTGGGAAGCGCGCCCTGCGCGGAGCGAGGGGCTCCTGGGCGCAGCAGGCTGCCGCCGCCGCCCCGCGCGCTGGGTGTGGGGAGTGCGGTACTGTAAGGCGTGGCCGGCTGTGCTGGGAGGAGGGAGAGATGCTGGAGGAAGAAGATGCTCAGCACCAAGGCATCCTCCTCTCTCCTTCCTCGTGAACTCTGAAGCCTTCCCATCCTCGCCCGTCTTTCACCAAGCCAGCACAATATTGCAGATTGGGAGAAAAAGTAGATCTGAATGAGGGTTTTTTGGGGGTGGGGGCATGAATCAGTTTTCAGTCGTGGGGCACACAGATGCGTTCTGGCAGGGTGCTTGCTTTAGAAATAATTGGCTGGACTGAAACGATAATCTCATTCCTTTCTTTGTGTCTTCTACCCTGCCCGCAATTTTAGAAGAGACAGCTTTTTAAAAAAACAAATAAATGGGCAGGTTCTTTTCAGAAGTAGTAATGGCTCCAAATGAAACCACAGCAGGTTTCTTTTTAATGAAGCCAGATCAAGAGTGATGCTTATCACGTTTGCCAGGAATAATTAGAAACAACAACCACAGGAAACTTCACAGGTGCAAGGAATAAAAGGTACACTTCCATGCACTGTGGAAAAGTTGGTCATGAATATTGCTTGAAGATATATCTTTGTATTCCGAGTAGGTTATTTAAAGCACAGGTGCATGTGCCTTTGGAAGAACAGCAGAACGTAGAAGACATCTTTCACATTGATGTATAGGCATCTTTGTGGGGAGCGAAGTATCCCCATTCACTTCATTAGGTGAATAGTTGCTTAGCCTTCCACACCAGTATATATTTCCTTTTGGTGTTTCTTCCTAAAAATCTGTAGCTTGGTTCAGTTTTCCCAACAGGTTTCATGCCACTGGTAATTTAAATGGCATCTTACAGCACAAGTCAGCACATGATTACTTTGGAGAGAGTCCCATTGTGTTCAGTGGGTCTTGCTCTCAGGTGAGTGCAGGGTGCCATGCTCTGCTCTCTTTCAGGTGAGAGATCACAAAGTCTCAGACATTTCTTTCTGTTGCAAAAAGACTCTGATAGAAATTGAATTTATCCTGGACAAAGTGGTGAATTCCACATGTAAACATTCAACATTCCATGCATAAGTTCCATCCGTTTTTATTTAGGGCACAATCCAAACTCGCACATGCACATCGTGCTGCCAGGGCTTTGCAAAGCGGCAGAGCTATTGCTGCATCTGCAGCTCTACAGCTCACACAACCAGCAGCACAAGGTCAGGGGCAAGATGACCAAGCCTGATGTGGACCTGATGGCATTGCCCAATTGTGGTGAGACTGGCTTGGGAATCCAGTGGATCCTGGGCCAGCTCAGTCCCATCTCTCCCCACCTTTGAAATGTCCCGTTTTGGGGTCTTTTGCCCACTGACAACTCTTCCACTCACCTGCACAGTCAGTGACCTGGCAGAAGGCCAGTTCATTAAGGAAAGCTGAGCAAGCCTAATCCAGCCTTCTCTCTACCAGCTCAGCAATAGTTTCAGTTGCTCTCTACTTTACATACAGTTTGCTATTTCAACATATCCCAACAAAAAAGTATTGGTGTAAAATGCCCCTGTATATAGTCCACATTCAAATCTAAACCATCCTGCAGCTACCACTAATAATAATAATTAATTCCACACTTTAAATAACATAATTAAGCAACAACAAATAAAACTATATGCATGAATAAATAATCACAAAATTAAATTATTTATGAAACTTAATTGCAGTATATTTTGTCTAGAAAATTTGAATGATAATACAAAATAATACAGTGGTACCTCTGGTTAAGAACTTAATTTGTTCTGGAGGTCCGTTCTGAACCTGAAACTGTTCTTAAGTTGAGGTACCACTTTAGCTAATGGGGCCTCCCGCTGCTGCCGCACCGCCGGCATGTGATTTGTGTTCTCATCCTGAAGTAAAGTTCTTAACCCGAGGTACTACTTCCGGGTTAGCAGAGTCTGTAACCTGAAGCGTTTGTAACCTGAGGTACTACTGTACTGGAAGGATTTCACCAGCACACACTTCTCATTGTTTTGGCATTTCTGCTGCTGTTAGAATGATCCTTCCTCTCGAACTTCCGGGGTGGCGCCATCGGTAATGGCGGATTCCCTCTGATCCGGAGGGACTGGCTCCACGGAAAACGGGTCTTTCCCGCTATGGCGAAGTGGGGACCCTTTGAAAAATCACAGGCGGATGAAGCCTGTGACCATGGGACTCGGCGGGCACCTTTCGCGCCCCCCCAACTCGTAAAGGAACCCAGTTACGGGCTCCGGAGCGAAGAGGGGCAAGTGGCGCGGTGCTGAGAGTCAACTGCTTCTTCCGTGGAGCGAAGCCGCACAGCCCTTGCCGGAGAGTGCTGCCTTTTTCCTGGGACAATTTGGCTATTAAAACAACTACCCGTGAGTAGCTTAATTTCGGACAATTGGACTTTAAACAACGACCTGTGAGTAGAAAGGAAAATTGGACTAAGAAATTCTTTTCAATTTGGCACTGAAACGGGAAGGTCTAAACAGGAAGTCAGCCTTCCGTTTCTTGTAGATAGATTAAAGCAAAGACATGGCAAACTAGAGTTCAGAAAATCGTTTGTAAAGGATTAACTTTCATCATCTAAAATTGTTGAACCCCTCTCGGAAGCAGGAGAAGAGGGGGGATTTTTTCTGGACTGTTTAAACCTGCAGAAGAGGGTGTAAAGAAAAGTAATTTTCCACCGTCTTGAACCTGGGAGCGGAGTGTCAAGACTGACGTTTTTGGGAAGCTCATTGACTATAGACAAACGTCTTTGACAGACAGTTAAAAGAAGAGAAACATAGTGATTCCATTGTTCTCCTTCGCATTTTAAAGGAACAAATATTGACAAAATATCTGAAAAAGGAAACTTTGTTGTTAGATCTGCCTTTAAAAGAAAAGGAAAAAAAGGAAAAGAGATGGATACAAATAGAAGTTCTTCCCCTAGAGGGAGCCTGTGAAACTGTTTAAATCTGAACCGGGGAGCTCTGCAGCTGCAACAGATTAAGATCGTGGGAATAGACTTCTGACCTTCATAACAATGTATTCAGAAGCTCTGGTGTGTGCTTTCTGCAAAACAAGTGCCTTATTGGAACAGTTACATGAGAATACGGACTTGATGACTGTTGCGATCAGAAATTTTGGACAGGTTGTGGGTAATTATATAGAATCCACCCAGGAATCAACTCAGGAGTGTGCTCTGACAGATCAGATGAGGGAAGAGGATGTTGCTGGACCTCGTGTGGCAGAGATGGAGGGAGCTGTGGCCCAGCAGGGACATGAGTTGTTGGATTTGACAAATGAAATAGGAAAAAGCCAGATTTGGAGAGATACAGTTTTGCTTGGTTTGGAAATGGGGGGTTGGATAGACCCCCCTATGCAGGGATGTTTTGACTCTTCAAGTCTGGCAATGGGCCGTGAGATGTTTGGGGATGTGGTGGTTCTTAATTCTGTAGGGTCTTTGAAATATGTTTTTAAATACCACATGGAGTTTAGTGTGGAATATGGAAAAGGGGCTGATTTGTCGAGAAGGGACAAAAATACTGTCAAGCTGGAGTTTCCACGAGTAAAAGGAGCAGGAGACAAAGTAAAGTACAGGTATAAATATGAAGAAGAGCTGCGGAAGGGACATGGAAGAGACTTAAGGGCCTCGGACATAAGATTACCAGGTTAATGAGCTAGATTGATGGGATAGAAAGGACTGACAAAACCCGGGACCAGGAGGAAGAGACGTTGGATGAAGATTGGAAGAAAGTTTTAAAAAATTTTTATTAGGATTGTTTTATAAAATTGATGAATGTTAGAAAAATGTTGGAACGAAATTATTTGGCTTTAGCAGAAATGTTAAAAGAATTATGTAAGAATATGTTATGGTTATGAGAAATTGGTATAAATAAGATCTAAGTTTTAAGTTTTAGGGTCTTTTATAGTAAGATAAGGTTAAAATAGATTAAGGTAATTTAATGACAGAATACTATGAAAAAAGGGAAAGGATTTGCTGTGATAATTAACAACTAGAATACAAAAAGGGAGGAGTGAGGAGGTCAATGAAATAAGGTAATGACAGTTAAGGATTTGGGAATATTGGATTTGTTTTTAAATTTTTGTGGTTTATTTTTGCTTTTTGATTGTGTTGTGTTATGTGTTTTGTTGTTATTTTTTGATTTTGATTTTTATTAATTTGTATTGTTTAATCGTGGATTGTGGTTTGTTTTTCTTTTGTTTTTTCCCCTTCTTTTTCTCTTTGTCTTTTCTGTAATTTTAAAATTCTTAATAAATATCATTTAAAAAAAATTATAGAATGATCCTTCCTCTCCTTCCTGCATACTCTTCTCGGGGGGGGGGGGGGTTCTCCTGACCCTCCAGAGTGGGAGGGGGGAAAGCCCCATTGCCATCGAGGAAGACCTTGCAACTGACATCCACTAGTGTACCGGGTTAGTTGAATCTATCCCACAGTCTCCAAAATTATTCACCTGCACAGTAATTACACAACGCTAATCTAACCATACAACCTCCACATATCCAATAACTCATCAACCAACTCAACAACCCCAACATCATTCTATCCATTCAATTCACACTTCAGTAAATTAAAAAAACCCTCCCAACCTTCAACTCACCAAGAGTCCTGTGCAAAGAATTAGGTCCACTCAATAAGAACAGCGCAATAACAGCAGAAAAAAGCAAACTAATAACTTACGCATTTCAACCCCATCTCTCACCTGGAGCAATACAAACACTCTTTGCCACCTTCTTAACCTAGAGAGCCCAGTCCCTTCCCCACAGGCAGATTGCTCACCCAGATGCAGCCACCAACACTCTTGATGCTCACCACTTCGCAGGGAGCATCCCTATCAGCCAGACAAAAACAAAGACAAATCTCTTTTAACAATGCCTCAGGAACACTGAATAAATAAGCAGGTGTGAGGACTCTGAAGTGGAAACCCAAAAGGGGCGGACCTCTTTGGTGTTTTCCTGCGGTGCTGTTCACTGCACTGCAGCAATCTTGCTTTTTTAGATCTATGGGCAGATGGTGCTTGGCTGCCCAGAGCCCTCTCAGCCACCACCACGCTTCCAGCTGGTTCTGCTGCAGCTGTAGAACTTTGCAGACAGATGAGAGACTATTGGGAGCCCAAGTGTGGGGGCTGGCAATATTTTTTCTCTCCCAGTCTCTTTCCTCTACCTTAGCACAAACAAAGAAAAAGTCAGTGTTCTTCCAATGTGTAATTTTCAAACGTATATTTGCACTTTGTAGAGGAAGAATGCTCAAACTATTGAGATATATATATATTTACAGACTGCGCCCCCCTCTATATATGCTTTGTTGATTTGTTTGTATATACAAATACATCTTTCCATTTCTTCCTCCATAATCTTGTGGAGATGTGTGGTTTTTAAGACCTCAGTTTCAGAACCAGTGGAGTAGACAGTTTGGGCAGAACCTGAGTTCTAAGTTTTAAATGATGATGATAATACGCGACCTAAAGTTTGCTTTTGTTTTCAGCAATGTTTTATTAACATGAAGTCCAAGTACATTATATTCTGCCCTGTTAAATTTTCTCATATAGCCCATGAGTTGTAATTGGTTTCCAGGACGGAAGACAGTCATGTCAAGAACCACCTCTGCAATCCATTCAGACAGGCAGGGATAAGATCAGTGAGCCAGAAAATGAAATAAAAGCAGTCAGCAGAGTCTGATTTGGGAAATGGCTGAAATGGATTAGCAGCTAAGGGGGGGGGGACCAGGCTGCTAAATACAACAAAAATCTACCATGGAGTACTGATTACTGTATATTGGGAAATAAATGTATTGCATGTATGAAGTTAAATGCACTTAGGTACTATGGAAATCTTCAGCACATATTTGCAGGAATGTGTCTGTGATTTTAGTAGGATGTGGTTATATCAGTAATTTCCAAACTGTGTCCTGGTGCATAGTAATATGTTTCAGGAGACTGCTTGGAATAAATAAATAAAATAAAGTAGTTGCAGTGAGAAATACATTAATTATATAATTAAATGCTCCTCTGAGCCCAAAATACACCACCACAACAACAACAGCCCCCATCACATACAATGCTGTCCGCTGCATTTCTGTTCTGGGCTTGCCTATATTCCAACAGAGCCTCCACTAGGAGTAGGTAATTTTGCCATATCATATTGGGTCATTCATTCACTACTAAAGCACAAAGTGGTAGAATTCTCATTGCCATGAGGGGCTGCCTGCTACATCTCTGCATGAGTCCCTGATCTTGGGTTTTCCTTCTTCCGATCAGCAGGTACCCCTAGAAATGTGATTCATGCAAAAATGCGAGGGTTAGATTAACTCCATTTAAGGTGGGATATGTTCACTCATCAGACGTGGGTGGTGCTGTGGGTTAAACCACAGAGCCTAGGACTTGCCGATCAGAAGGTCAGCAGTTCGAATCCCCGTGACGGGGTGAACTCCTGTTGCTCGGTCCCTGCTCCTGCCAACCTAGCAGTTCGAAAGCACATCAAAGTGCAAGTAATAAATAGGTACTGCTCCAGCGGGAAGGTAAACGGAATTTCCGTGCGCTGCTCTGGTTCACCAGAAGTGGCTTAGTCATGCTGGCCACATGACCCGGAAGCTGTATGCTGGCTCCCTCAGCCAATAAAGCGAGATGAGCGCTGCAACCCCAGAGTTGGTCACGACTGGATCTAATGGTCAGGGGTCCCTTTACCTTTACTATGTTCACTCATCAACATACTAAATGTAAACATTTTTAGGTGTAAGGGGAAAGAATCTGCATCCAATAACAGGTCAGAAAGTTTTCCTCAGATCTGAGAATTTTCAGGAAGCACTGGATTCCATCATAGGTTTGGATATAGTTCTCTGGAGCATGTATGGTTTGTTAAAGGGTGCAGATTTCCTGTATCTGTTACTGACCTCCCTCTACTCACCAGTGTGGTGTAGTGGTTAGAGTGCTGGACTTGGATCTGGGAGACCAGGGTTCAAATCCCCACTCAGCCATGAAGCTCACTGGGTGACCTTGGGCCAGTCACACACTCTCTCTCTCAGCCTAACCTACCTCAGAGTTGTTCTGAGGAGAAAAATGGAAGTGGGGAGAATTGTGTATTTGCCACCTTGAGCTCTCTGGAGAAAAGCTAGGATATAAATGTAACAACAACAACAACAGCAACTCAAGCAACACTAGGGAATAGGTTGGACAATGGTGCTTATAACTGAGCAGCAAAGAGAAGCAACAACAAAAAATTTGTGGCTCCCTCTTCTCGCCTATTGTTGCCACAAACTAGAGGGAAGCGAGTGAAAAGGAGGGAGGAGCAATGAGTTTTCCAGAGCATTAAGAATAACCTTCCTGTAATTAAATTGCCGTGATGTATTAACCTAGTTTCTTTGTAAGATAGCAGAACATGCATATATTGTAGTAAGAAATTCATTATTTTTCATGTTTAAAATGTAAATTAAAAATATTAGATTTATGTTTGATTAGATTAGCGCAACTAGGATATTCAAGGGTATTTCAATCCATTCTGCATCCCACCAGGTTCCTGCACAGTGGGAAAATGAGACTTTGTTATTATTATTATTATGAGACTGGTATTTAATAAACAGTTGCAAGTGATTTATTGTTGCAGTGGGACCCTTATGTTCGGAAACGACTGATTTAAAACTTTAAATCTTATCTGGCATTTGGCTTTTGCCAAACCTGCTTGGCGATAGATCTCTCTCAGTTCCCTCATATATCTCCTGAAACTTCCCACTGCTTATGGGTGTCCAGTGGAGAAGGGAGCTGTTGGTAACAAATTGAAAAGAACCACGTAAATAGTAACATGCATAAAGTTCAATGTGTAACAAGTTCAGTTAGTGAAGTTGATGCTTTCTTTTAAAGGCTAACTTTTAGGTAATAAATTAATGGAAAGTAAACTGCTGGCTAAGTGCTAAAGCGTATTCATCGGACCAAGTGATGGACTTGGACCTAGAAATCAAAGGCTTCAAATTCCCTTTTAAGCACTTTCTTGGGTCAGAGTTATTTGGGAATGTTGCTGTCTCCATTCTACTTACTTTCTCATCTGTGAAACAGTTGACAATAGAAACTTGCTCTGCAAAGAAGGTTGAATGGAGGGTGTGCTGAATTTCAGTGTGTGCTTGCGACAGAAGCACCTAACTGCTTTCCTTAGGGCATTCTCAAACAAACCTTTTGCCCACAGTGGAACACAGGTTGCAATCACCAAGCTGAACGATTCTAGTGGAAACAGGTTGTCTGGACAATGTGAATAGTCTGTGTACATTGGAGAAAGGGAAATCTGTTTGTCTGAATTTACACCAAGGGTTTTTTTACCCACAATTCATGACAATTCTGCTATAGTAATGAGACTGAAGGTCTTGTTTCCAACCGTTGCGACTGGAGAGAGCAACAGCTATAGTGATGGTGAGGGGTGATATAAAAGAAAAAGAGTCCAGTCCACAGAGGAGTTTTGGCATTGTTTAAGCCGCTTGGAGATTATTTAGTCGAAAGGCAGGTATAAATATTTAAAGTAAATGAATTAATTGATGGTTCTTGGGTTAGACAACAGATAGTCCAGCTTTGACTGGAGCCAAACCCTGATGAGTCCTGTGGTTTAGGTTGTCATGTTGATCAAAGGCAGCAATTTTACAGCAATTCCTGTAAAAAATTGTCTATATTTTTGAGTTCTGAAATCTGCAGATTTTATTTTAAATGAAATTGGTTGATTTAATCTGTTTCAAGGAAGATGATTTATCAGCTTAAAATTCTGTGATTGGTTGGCAGCTCTCTTGTGTATATACAGATGCAATATCAGTTCAATATCAAGGAGTCTCACTAAAAAAGGAAACAGGATATGCTATTTCCATCATATATGCACTGTTACACCTTTAGTTCTCTCTTAATTTGAACATCAGCCCAATTCCAAAATGTCCAATAACGTATGGAAAAGCTAAGCACTCCATAGGGTTGAAGTCCACCCCCCATGCCGTTACCACTTTTACAGCCGGATCCTACTCAGAAGCAAGGCCTATTGAGTTCAGTGGTGCTTACTCACAAGTTAGTCTGCCTGTGGTTACAACACTGGGATTTCAAAGGCAGACTTGATGTTCGAGGGGGGGTGGATTTCCAAAAGGTTGCTTTGTCCTGAATCTTAGGAAAGTCAATCGAAAAATCGTGGGGGTTTTGGGGGGCATTTTTGTAAAAAAAGAGAGAGAGAGAGAGAAGCAGCTTTGGGGTTTGTCTAAAGAAAAGCTCCTTAAAAATGCTCAACAACTTTCAGGGTGTCCTGGTTTTTACTTTTTGAAATATGGCAAACCTTATTTAAGTGTGACACAAACAATGTATTAAGTGATTCTGGGTGAGAGACCTGAATTGGTAGATGACAATTTCATTATCCTGCTATATGCACTCATTGTTATTGTATAACTGGATATGTTATTTGAAACATTGGGTGACTGCTAAAAACATGTTTCCCCCCCCCTCCTTTCCCCCATAATGTGTTGGACTTCTTACCTGGTTTTGTGAAGAAGAGGAGTGCAAAGAGGGGGAAAACAGTAGAGATGACTTCAAGTGGATGGTGTTAACATAATTTGTACTATAACATGTTCTAAAGAAAACAGTTCAATATAATGCAGATTATAAGTTTTACATGATTGTTTATGTAATTTGAAAAGGCAGATCTCATCAGGTCCCACCTAACGTCAATCCTTTTGAGGCTGCAGGTCCAGATACACTGGTTCCAGATTTGAACTCACCTGGTGGGACCAGAGTGCTCTGTTTCTGTTCTGTTAGCCTTTACTGAAGATGGAGATTCTTAGGTGAGCTGCAAGCTTAAATTGCGTGTGCCAAACCTTCAACATTTAGGGTTTTTTTGAATGCTAGTAGGGTCCCATCAGGGAAAAGAGAAGAAGTGGATTCAAGCACCTCAACTCAGGCTCTGCATCCTTTTCTTTGATATTGTACTAGGAAGCATCCATTCTGAGGACAGCTTTAAATGGATTAAGTAGTACTACTCAGAACTGTGATATGTGTGATACAGTTTGTGAAGTTTATCATATGTCCTGAAAGCTCTGTGCCAAGAGATGATTAAGAATAAGGTTGTTAATAAGAAGAAAAAAAAACTAATGAAAGTGTTGGCCATATGCTAACTTCCCTATCATTAATTAGAATAATTAACTTCTTTACATTTCACATTAGTAGCAGCAGTAGCTCCAGTCACTGGCAGATCATTTAAAATAGACTCTCTGCTGCACAATTGGCTGTGGTCCATCAGTAGTTCCATGGGGAATTAGCACTTTACAGTAGATCAAACCCAAGAGATGCAAACTCAGGCTGAAATTTTCTATTATCACTTTTCAGTATTTATGTCCAAGCTTAAGTATACCAGTATGTACACTTGGTGGAATGTGTGTGTCTCTATTTCCCCCTCTGTTGCATTTAGACATTACTATGCTCTTGCTCTTTTCCCTGTCTCAGCTAGGAGGCAGGCTTCTAAAACCATTTAAAAAGCAGTAGTGGTACATACCAGCCTAGAAAAACCTGCAGGGCAGGGGGAACCTTGGGAAATGGCTCAGTTCATTCCAAATCCAATTCAAACCCTGTCACACTCCCTATGATATAATCAGGAGTGTAACAGAGTCTCACTGTCCCACCCAACCTACAAGATGCAGAAGTCCTCTGCATGGAGAAAAGGATACCTGTATGCAAGCTAACACTGACAAGTAGACCAATTCCTGAGGTAACAGTGATGGCCTTACAGCTATGTTCTGTGTGGGGCTGGAGAGGCTCAGGCTCACTGGCGGAGGAAGAGGAGTGCGGGGGGAGAGCCCTGCCCCCAGCAGCATGATCACGACAGGGTGCCATTGCGGCCTCCCTCCCGCCCGTGCTGGGTGCCCCGCCCCCGCAGGCAGCGTGCCACACCCCTGCGGGCAGCACACCCCGCCCCCAGGATGCGCGCCAGCCCCGCCCCTGCCTGCTCTCCACCCCCGGTGACAGAGCATGAAGCTCCGCCACTCCTCAGGCTTAAAAGCCTTCTGCTCTAGCAACCAAATGCTAGAACAATGCCTTTGTGCTATGTGGCTGTTGGCTCTGGCTAACTAGTTGTAAACATCAGGAGTCAGCAGACTTTTTCAGCAGGGGGGCTAGTCCACTGTCCCTCAGACTTTGTGGTGGGCCAGACTATATTTTGGGGGGGAAATGAACCAATTCCTATGCCCCGCAAATAACCCAGAGATGCATTTTAAATAAAATGACACATTCTACTCATGTAAAACAGCAGGCAGGCCTCTCAAATAACCCAGAGATATATTTTAAATAAAAGGACACATACTACTCATGCAAAAGCACGCTGATTCCCGGACCGTCTGCAGGCCAGATTTAGAAGGTGATTGGGCCGGATCCAGCCCCGAGGCCTTAGTTTGCCTATCCATGTGTTAACTGAACACTGCCTATCTTATTGGTCTTTGGGCTTGCTTCACACTTCCTTCAGGCTTTGTATCTCTTATTTGTCCTTATAGGAGTTATTGATCCTGTGTGTGTTTTGCGCAGGTGTGTGTTTGGGTGTTGTTCATTCATAGCAAGGGAGGACTGAGTGTCTAATTTACTTGTTTGCATTTACATAGCATCATCTATATTCTCTCTTTAGAAAGAACAAGTATCATAGGTCCCCACTACCAGGGGCTTACGGCTTATGGTGGACAGATCCTCTGTAATTTCCATGAGGGCAGTTTTTTGTGGGATGCAGGGGTAAAAAGCTATTTTGAAGGGTTGTGTGTCAAAGGACAGCTGCAGGAAAGAGAGTTTGGACAGTAAGTAGCACATGCCAGGAGCTTGGAGATAAAGCGTAGAAGGAAAAGTGCTCAATAGCTGGAGTGGGATGATGGGTTTTTGGTTTTTTGTTTAGAACAGGGGAAAAGTGAAGTGCTTGAATATCCATGTGTCTTCCATCTAATATTTACTTGGTTGGTTCCCTTTATTTTTGTACTTGAATATGTATACCTATGGTGCATCCTTTTGGATGCAGTTTTTGTGCGTGTGTGTGTGTGTGTGTGTGTGTGTGTGTAGAATTAGGTATCTGTCTCCACAAAGCCCAGCTGATCTTCTTCTGCACACCTAATTCTACATACACACACTCATCACATTTGACAAGGTACGTGTTTGTTTTTTTATCACGTGCTGTGAATGCCTGAATACAAAAAGGGAAAATGAAGAACAGCTCATTGATATACAACCTGTTTTCGAAGCAATGTTTCTTCTGCTCTTCTCTCAGAGAAGGCCAACGTAATTATAATTACTTTAACTGTGAGCATTCTCAGGCCATCATACATGGTGAAACTGAGATTTTCTACATAAAGTTTTTTTGTTTGTTGGTCTTTGTGAGCAGAGCTGTTGAAATTGGAAAGAAAATAGGTGTGTGGCTTTGTATGTTGAACCCATTAAACTAACAAGCCCCACTGGTGGAAACTTGCACAAGGACTAGTCACTAGAGCAACAAGGTTTCCACCCTATCCTCCCCATGCCCCCCCCAAAATTGGCTCAGAGTGAGAGAACCCCCACTACAGCAGGAAGGAGAAGAGGAGACATTGTTCCATCAGGCAAGCTGAAATTCTTGCATTGATGGAGTGATTGCCATAGTGCTACAATGAATTCTTCCACTGCTGTTCAATAATAATAAAAATACTGAAGGAAAATGTGCAGGAAAGAGCAGCTATAGCATGGAAAAGAGAACATCGGATTTCACCTTATTCTAACATTTACTCTTCTAGTGCATAATAAACAACATCCAGCTTTCAGTAAACATATCAACTGAAACCCATATTCAGGCCTTCTGCGATGTAATTTGGACCTAAGTGCACTGGTCCAATGCCATTCTAGATTGATAGAGCTATGCTGCCTATATATATAATCCTAGCCAAGTCTACCCAGGAGTAAGTCCTGCTGAATTCAGTGGGGTTTATTCTCAGATAATGTGTTGTCTTTGAGTTTCTTCTCATCCAGTTTGGTGCAATGAAGGTAGTACAACTGGCCATGTAGCTTACAAAATAATGGTCAGTTTGATGCTACAAGTCCACTTGTTCTCAGCTCCTGTAATTACTGTGTAGGAGGTTAATCTATGATTAAATCAATAGTTGATTGAGTATACCAATAATTTGATTTGAAGATTGCAGACTTAACATGACGACATATACTTTATCCAGTTTGGTTTTGTAACAAAGATTTTAGGCAAGAGGTTTTTTTGTTTTTTTTAAAGGTAGTATGTGATTTATGACATCCTGAATTTTGGGCTGTGCTCCTTTTAAAAATGTGACTGAAAAGTAACTGTTTATTGTGTTAAAAAATGCATTTTGAGAACCTTGTAAAGAAGAAGAAAAGGTGGCAAGAATATGGTTAACATGATACAGTCTATTAGCCATTTCACCCTTCTAAGTTAGCCTGTATTTATTCACCCATGAAATATGAACATTTGGCAAGGCATTTTGACAATGTACTATATGAATAGCGCAATCAAGGTTACTAACCTTGGGGTGCTCAAGGTTATCTGCTTAAGAAAATGTGTCATCAGATATCAGGCCTAATTTTGTGGTTGAATCTCTGGTATGAAGTGAAAGACTAGCATTCAGGAGAAAGGGAAAATTCAGCAAAAATGGAGCTGCCTGAGCCAGAAGCTTTTTGAAAAGGTAATTAAGTAATGAGTTTCTGTCATGTTTGTGGAGGAAAGAAAATAATTTGTACAAGTAACCATGTTAATTATGCTTTCTGGCATAATGTTAAATATTTTATTAGATGTCCAAGGGTTTCTTCATAAAACATTGATCTAACAAAAGCTATGGGACATTTGACTGTGGCAAAGCTTTGCATAACCAATGTCTACAAAAGAAGGGAACTAGATAAGTGAAAGCTTGTGGGGGGGGGCAACAGAAGACCCTGATTGGGGGGCGGGGGAGGAAGCAAAACAAATGTATCCCTATTCATTTCTCCTGAGAGCTGAAATGGAAAAACTTAAGAACGGGGATATGATTTTAAATAAAACATTATTATGCCTTCCAGAGTGATGTATGAAATATGTTTAAAGGAGTCTGTTATAATGTTTGCAGCTAATTCTCATTGCTAACTGAAAATCTGTTGTATTCAAGTAGGGTTGCCATACATCTGGAATTTCCTGGACATAGCCAGAATTTGGCTGTCAGAAACTGTGTCCGGACGGAAATCGCTGAATGTCCAGGAAAATCCCATGCCGGAGGTGTAGATTTAGGTGAAGTGTAGATCTTTAGCTCAAAAACTTTTGTGTCCAGATTTTCACATTTTGAAATATGGCAACCCTAATTCAAGATTCAAAGGTCGTTTTGTTAATGATCGTTACTGCATTACTAAACAAGTACGGTAATGCTTTGGGACTTTGTGCTGGAAAATCACATCCAAATGTTCCAGACTACAGAACGCCAGGTTGCTGAAGTTGCAGTTTGAAGCAGAAGAGTAGAATGGGGGCGGCGGGAAGGAAGAGGGACCTCTTAGCTCTTTCCTCATGTATAGGAAAAGAATAAATAAACTACATATACACAATGCGTGCATAGAATACTCTTCCCTCTGTAATTGTACAAACTCTATTGATGTGACTCTGGCGGCCCCAAGCCCATACCTCTTAACAGTCCCGATTTGAGTGGGGCATTCCAGAATTGCAGAAGCCATCCTGGCTTCTGATTGGATCCTGGAATGTCCCCCTATTTTGGGTGTTGGGCGTTCTGGTATGAGTCGGGTGGCTCGCGCCAGAGCACCCAACCAAAAGCTGCAATTTTTTGCCTCTCATGAATCAGCTGGCTGAGGACCAAATAACAACCGTCCCAATTTTGATCAAAGTGGGGTTTGGGAGGGAATGCAAGACATGACAAAGGGCACCAACTTGTAGGAATGCTTCCAGGGCCCAATATCTTGGACTGTGGACCAGGCTAGACCCTAGTAGGCAAATTGCTAGAACTTTCAGCACCAGAAACACATGAAATCAAAGCCTACGTGGTCACTCAATCCCTCTTACTTCAGTTGCCAGTTAATTCACTTAGAAAAACCAGCATGGAAAAGATTGCAAAGCTTTAGGTAAGGATGGCTCCTGCTCTTCAAGATATCCCAGAGAGGGGAGTGAAGCCTGGGGCTGGCAGTGTGGCAGATGACTCCCTTTGGTGGGCACTTACATATAACTCCCTACAAATGATGCTTTTCAGAGCAGTTGCTATCCTTGAGGATGTGTGCTCCCTCCAGTTCCCATCCTCTGATACAGATTTTCTCCCTTCCCTTGCCAGAAATAGCTGGTATAGCATCACCAGTTCTTGAAGAGTGAAATTATGGTACCTGGGCAGGTGGCAGCACCTAACCAGGTGTTGATCCATCAGTGAAACTGTTCACAATATGCATTCTGTGGTCAACAAATTAAGTACTTAGAAAACACCCAATGTGCATTTCTTTTCCTGATCCCAGACAGAAATGCTCACTCACACCCTTTCATGCATGCACATGTCCTCAAAACATTGAGGTCACAAAAGGACCCAGAATCACATCGTGTCCACAGCAGAAGATAGGAGGGAAGTTATCTGCATTGCTGATGCTCCCATTACATAAAGAATGCTGAATGTGTGCTGGCTGTGGTTCATTTTGAAGGGTTTTCAGCACACAAAACCATCTTTGATGGTTTGGCTTCCTTGCCAAATGCATATATATGCAGAAAACGCTTTTACTTGCTGGCAAAGATCTTATACAGAGTGCATCTCACGCCTGTTTGTAAAAACGCATACGGACCAGGGCATCTGTAGTTGGACGTGCTAATGTATGGTTCAGATACATTAGATCCCAATTCAGCAAAAGTTAGTTATGACTTAAGTCCCACTGAAAGCAATGGAACCTAAGATAGTCATGACTAACTTGTTCCAATAGCGTGTAGTAATAACTAACTTTAACTGAAGTCCAAGAAATCTTGCTTTGAGAGCTCATGGTGTATCTTCATTCAGGATAACAGTTATGTAACATTTGCCGTGTTTTTGCACTCCGAGCGACACATCTCCCTGGTTTTTAATGATAAACAGAAATCATAAATTTAATAACACAGTAGCCTTTAATAACATTGTAAACCAGGAAGGCTAAAAGAGCAGAAGAAAGCAAATTCTAATATCCTAAAAATTAAGCTATTTAATTTTCCACTGAAACTGAGTTTTGGCCTGGACAAATAAGGAGCAGAACGAAAGTGCCAAAATACCACAAGAGTGTCTGCTGTTGTCTGGCCTAACCAGAAGCAGGAAATTCTTGCAAGATCCTGTCTCCTGAGATTGTCAGCCAGCTCTGAGGCTTGCCTGTTGCTAGTTATTAGAGAGCAAGGAATGTAGCTGAATGCAGCATCTCTGAAGATGTAAAAAGCAGTGGGTCGCTGGACATCTTTTTTGCATTTTTAAGGAAATGGCCTCTAGGTTTTTGCTTTCCCCTATAGCATGTGGCACAGCTTGCTTGTTCTGAGCCATCTGCCTTTGTTTTATTAAAACGTCTACTGTTTATCCTGCAGCCACTTCACTTGTTCCTTCCTCTCCTGTTTGTAGGACATTTTAATCTGGATGTGATGTGTTGTATGTTAAATGTTGGACAACAATGGGGATTGAAATGGTACCTGTGTTTCAGACCCGCCAAATGTCCCTGCTTTCCGGTGACAGTCCCTAATTTACAGAAGCCGTCCTGGTTTCTGATTTTATCCCAGAATGTCCTGCTTTTCCTTAGGATGTCCCTATTTTCATCAGAGAAATGTTGGAGGGTATGAAGTTATCCGACCCTTGAGCCATCTGAAGTCAGCCCTGTATAGGGAAGGGGTTTTTTAATGTTTAATTATGTTTTTATATATGTTGGAAGCCTCCCAGAGCAGCTGGGGAAACCCAGTCAGATGGGCATGGTATAATTAATTAATAATAATAATAATAATAGAATATGACATCCCTATTTTCACCAGAGAAATGTTGGAGGGTATGGTGTCTTGAGAAGGATTAGATTAGCAGAATTGATTTTTGTTTTGTACGAAAACTGCAGCTGTGACACAATTGTGCAGTGGGATTTCATTTTATTTTTGAGCATTTTCACAGGAGACATTATACAAAACTACATAACAGAAGCTGGATATATGGGAAAGGATAAACCATAGGGGAAATGGGCACTGGACAAAGCACCTTTATGCTCATGATTTGGTGTGCCACACTCTTCATCAGTGATGTACATGGAGTGTTAGCTTAGGCTGGGGGCAGGTTGATACCTCTTGGGTTATTATGTTATGCAGTTTATCAGAAGGCTATGGCAAACCATTTTTTAAAAAAAATCTGTCTCCCAGACTGCCTCTGCTAAACGAATATTGCTCAGAATCCTTCATTTAATAACCATTTCCTGCAGCACCAAAGCCCATACTGTGTAGGAATTTCCAGAATGGCACTTGTAGTCACTCTTCCCCTGGTTGCCACAGAGGCTCTGATCCTTCCCTCAGTGGCTCCTTTGTCATGAGGTGGGTGTGGGGGTTACCTTTCATTGAAAAGTACATAGAGGTGAAGGACAAATTTGGAAGTAATACCCTTTCCAACTTCATCTTCAAGCTGTATGTGTTTTCATATATAGCCCATGGCAAAGTGTAGTGTGTGTGTGTGTGTGCTTTATCTATTTCTCCCTTGCTGTGGGAAGGGGACTGATATGGGGGCAGGAAACAGAAGTGACCAGATAACTTCTCCAAGGTAGTCCTAAGGTTTGTGGGTGTCAGGAATATATTCGGCTTGGAGAGAGCTCTACTCAAGTGACTAGCAGCTTGTGATCGTAAACATTTATGTTGATTGCCATTGCTATTGCAACATTCCTAAAACCATTATTTTGTGATGTTGTGCTGTTTTGCTGATTGACAGTGCTGTCAGTCTCATCCTAAGGCTGGGCTGAATAACTGACAGTTGAAACATTCCTTTAACAATATTATAATGATCTCCATTTATCTTGATAGTTTGTTTGTAGTAAAAGGTGGAGCTTGGATGTTTAGGATTTCTTTTCTACTTTTTTTTTCTCCACTGCTTCTTTTGTTCTAATAAAATTAAGTAGGAAGATGCCAAGGAATGGTAGATGTAACATTGTTGTAATATTTTTTTCTAGCGTTGATGCCGTATGACAGCTTTTAATTATAGCCAGCTACTTACTGGTATAGTGACCAAGCAGTAAAATACAGTGGGAAGTTAGTTTTCTGTAAGTACTATTGAAATTGATGAAGCAAGTTAGTTACAATTAACAGAAGTTTATAATTGATTCCAACAGGTGCTGTCACATTTTGAATTAGGGTATATCCAAGCCCTGTCAAAGGCCTTATCAAATAAAATAAGAAACAACAGGGAAGTGCCTGATTGCGCTTGTAGCAAGGAAGCCTCTGATTGGTTGGCCTGGTCTGGTGCTGTAGAATGTACATCGCCATTCTAAGTGCTTAGCAAAATATCTGCGAGGGAACAGAAATTTCTGCTATACTAGAAATATATAATAGAAATTTCTGTCTGTGTATGGTTTTACTCACAGTAAAGCCATACATAGACTTTAGGTGTAGCAGAAATTTCATTGGGCTGTCTGAGAGCTTGAAATAGATGCTGAAAAATAGGGGAGCTATGGGGCAGGTTGCCCAGTGAGGCAAGGTGGCAGAAGCAAGGGTTCACAGTAAACAACAGACTGAGAAACAGAAGCCGAAGGGGGGCTCTGATAAATGGGTGGAGAAGGCAAATGCTAAAAAGGAAGGTGGGACTGAATTTCACATCTTGAATTAAATAAATCAGCCAGTTCTTTGGCTGTGGTATTAAAGAACTCTTAGAAGAAATTCATGTGGTGGAACTAAACATGAAGTCTGTAAGCTCCCTTTCAGTGTCCTTGCCCATTCAGATTATAAAACAGCTCTGGAGCTCTCATGTTGCATATTTTATTTTAATTGAAACATTTCAACATCTGTATACAAACAGTCGTGGTTTTATACTTTAAGTTCAATTAGGTTTATTGAACTAAAAGTTACTATAAGAGAAAATGTTCTGTGCTTTGTAAATCTCAGCTTCCATGAAGAATGTTAGTTCCAGATGTTAAACTGTTGTTTTTTCAGAAGCCTTGTTAAGTTGCCAGAACGTTTTGATTTTTTGAATGATTTTCCAAACCCCAGCTGATTATCACAACATGTAGGAATCCAAATTCGGAGTTTGGCTATGAAGTCATCTCAGCAGCTGCAAGAAATATGTGTGAAGAGACAGGTTCACAGAATTATCCTCCGATGCCCTTAAAAGGTTTAAGAAAAAGGTAAATGGCTCTTCCTGCTCTGCATAACACACTGCTCCTGGTATTTCATCAACATTTAAATCTACCACTTTTGCAGCACATATTAAGCTTCATTAATTGTGTAACATGTTTATGGTGTGTGCCATAGCCCAAACTTGTAATGCTTAGGACCCCACCCCGAAATTAACAGTTCATGCTTTGAAATTAACGGATTACATTGGGGTACTGTTTTAAGTATGGCTTGTTGATATTGCAAGATGATCTATGAAAGACTGAGTAAAAGTAAAGAATCCCTGACCGTTAAGTCCAGTCGTGGACAACTCTGGGGTTGCGGCGCTTATTTTGCTCTATAGGCTGAGGGAAACGGCGTTTGTCTGCAGACAGCTTCCGGGTCATGTGGCCAGCATGACTAAGCCGCTTCTGGAGAACCAGAGCAGCGCACAGAAATGCCATTTACCTTCCTGCCGGAGCGGTACCTATTTATCTACTTGCACTTGAGGGGGACCGAGCAACGGGAGCTCACCCCATCATGGGGATTCGAACTGCCGACCTTCTGATCGGCAAGCCTTAGGCTCTGTGGTTTAGACCACAGCACCACCCACGTCCCATTATGAAAGACTGAACTTTGGCTCAAAACAATGGTCTGGTTTGGAGTAATGTCGTTGCTTATGAGAAACCTGGTTTGTGAAGCCAGGAACAAGCATCAGACTTGTGTTCTCCCTCTCTCCTCCCCTCTCACGTGACACATTGGTACAGAGATCCTGCTTTGTTTTAAAGCCAGAGTTCCCCACTACACCCCAAATGGATGTTACATTACTTAACTAATCAGGGTATTAATCCAGAATACTGATCAGGATATTAATCCAAGAAGCAAAAGTCACGTCAGAAGAAAAGATGGAAGGAGGAGGCAACCAATTAAAGAGCTAGTGAGCTAGGAGCAACTTCAAACGTGTCTTGCTGAGCCACACAGGTGGGTACTACAAATGCATTATATTACAGTGGTGCCTCGCAAGACGAAATTAATCCGTTCCGCAAGAGTCTTCGTCTAGCGGTTTTTTCGTCTTGCGAAGCAAGCCCATTGACGGATTAGCGCTATTAGCGCTATCAGCTGTTTAGCGGCTATTAAAGGCTTAAAGGCTTAGGGATTAGCTGCTAAAAGGCTATTAAAGGCTATTAAAGGCTTAGCAGATTAGATAAAGGGGGAAAGCGAAAAAAATCTCAAGACTCGCAAGGTATTTTCGTCTTGCGAAGCAAGCCCATAGGGGAATTCGTCCTGCGAAGCAACTTCAAAACGGAAAACCCTTTCGTCTAGCGGTTTTTCCGTCTTGCGAGGCATTCGTCTTGCGGGGCACCACTGTATTTGGCACCAATGGTATCTGTATAAGCAAGATTCATTCTGAATTGAACACCTACTCTTCCTCAAAAGTCTTCCAATGGCATACTCAATTTCATTATCTTCCACAATGCAACCATTATTTGTTTTGTGGGATGGGTGTATCCAAACCAGACCATTGTTTTGAGCCAAAGTTCTTGTTTGTATTCATTGAGAGAGAACACAATATATCTTGTATGTATCAAATAACATTTAAAAAAACCTACGGTTTTGACCCCATCATTACTACAGGCCACTCTCCATTCTGCTGAGCCCATTTTTCCTCTGATAGGTTTTCTTTAGATATACAACATACCACATCAATAACGCATTGGACAAGAAGCAGTTGTGTAAATTATCTGCATTTATGTAGATTAGAATAAAAGTTAGCAGCTTGCCCAATAAAATCCTGGCTGATTTGCACTCGGATCATCCAGATCTACCGGTGGCCATGCAAACTTCTTTCTTTAAAGGGACATAGTTAAGATTAAGTTGCTGGGGTATTTGTAAAAGGAATAACATCTGGAAGAGAGCTAGATGTGAAAGTAAAATCATTTAAGGCTAGCCTGCATTTTCCAATGAAGTCACTCATGCCCGTGAATGCAAAATTTACTGCTTTGTGGAATGCAGGTTATTTCCCGCCCCCCATGCAAATATCAACAAGGGATCCCAGTCAAGATATGAAGCAGCGTCTCTGAGTGATTATCTGTACTCTTGCCGCATCATCTCATTAGGTAGCTATTCCCCACACCCCCTCAACATGTTTTTAATGATTAGAATTTCCAAGGTTGGCGGTTCAAATTCACGTGATGAGGCGAGATCCCTTTGCTCTGTCCCATCTCCTGCCAACCTAGCGGTTCAGAAGCACACCAGTGCAAGTAGATAAATAGGTATCGCCACGCTGGGAAGGTAAGCAGAGTTTCTGTGTGCTCTGGCTTCTGTTGCGCCAGAAGTGGTTTAGTCATGCTGGCCACATGACCTGGAAAGCTGTCTGCGTTTTGAGTCATTGCACATTGACTTCCAGTTGCAGTTGCCATTCATGGAGACGCTTTTGGAAATGCGACACTACTGGCAAAATGAGGATGAGTCAGCCTTTTTTTTGCATGCTGCTGTGAGAACAGCTTTAATGAGTGTCCATAATGGCATCCCAAAATAAATAAATAATGCAAGCCCCTGTTTCCTCTGAATTCTGCATCTGGCACCAGCATTCGCATGACTATTTCATTCCATTTTACATGGCAGTCCTGTCTATCTCATGACTACAGTGCCTGTCATATCAATAAGTCCTTAAGGCTGTCTCCATTGCAATCTTTCGACTCACTTTGAGAACCCTTATTTTATTCTTGTCCCTGGTTTGCATAGAGTAGTTTTGAAGCATTTTCAGCCAGAAGTACAGTTGTTCTAATTAAGAGGAACAGAGATCACTACTTTGTCAAAAAAGCAAGATTTAGAAGAGTTACCTGGGTGTAAGTCCTATGTGGCATTGAGAAGAGAGACGTAGGATTAATAGGCATTTGTTTTTTCTCCAGGCATCAACCGAGTTGGAGGAATGTACGCAGCTTAGCTTTCCTCTGATATAATAGTTTCGAAGAGATCAGGGTACATTTTGCCGTAGTGTCTAGCAATATGAGTTTATTCAGGCCGTTTGGCAGACAACCCTGTGCTAAAAACTGTGAATCATCCATTGTTGGCTGAATCCACTCTAGTGACTAGTTGCTAAGAGATTTATCAAATGTTCACAAAAGCTTAAGACTGTGTTTGCTCCAAGGAAGGATAGATGTATAAAAACCGAAAGATTTTTCACCTATTTTCTAAACAAACAACTCCCTTTCTGTTGTTATAAGCTGAACTGTAATTAAATAGGCAAGCAGGGATATTTCTTGCTACATGGGGTTCGCAGTTCACGATTTGCTAGGGAGGAGAAAAATTAATGCAACCATTTTTTTAAAAGCTACACGTAAGCCACCTGAAGCTGCCCTAGACCACACATGTATTGGAAAACGTCACTGTGAATCAGATTGTCTAGACACACAACCAGAAGTATTTATTTCACTTGTGACATCACTTCCCACTTACAGGAGCTTTTGTAGCAGTTCCAATGTAGAGTGTGTCTCACCTGGACTTTCTCTTAAAAGCTATATGAAATGGTTGCTGTGTTGATCAGATTTTCCCCCCACTACTTTTTTTTTACAGCCGAGTATATCATAGTAGGAAAGAATGAAACCTCTTTATAGAGCCCTATAGCCCCTTGAAATGAATAGTCTTCTTAACAAAGGAAAAGCAGTTTCTTTTCTCTGTTTGTCCTTTTTGTTTGTTTGGCATTGGTCAGAGAATGCCAACCCCTCCCGTCATCCAGCGTGACTGGTTTTGTTTCCTTCCATTTTTCATGGGTGGTTGTGAACAACTTGTGTTGGTCTACTTTTTACCCTACCCAATGCAACCATGTGTTCTGAAAGGCGTGTCCAGATTTATCATTAACTAGGAAGGTCGTCTACATAGTAACAGAAGCAGATTTAGACTACAGTCTTAAAACACAGAAAGGAAAATGCAACATTGAAACCAGTAGAATCTTGTTCTGAATAAGCAAGGACTGTGCTTGCATCTGTCTAAGTTGCCAACAGACTAGTTTTCTATCTTCAATGTTGGGGGGGGGGGGACACACCACAACCCACATCTTTATGCAGAGGTCTAGGTTTACTTTATACAACACACACTATTTTCTTTAATAAAAGTTTTAGGAAAATATAGAGCTTTGGGGTTATTGATATATGTTTAGACGGGAAGGTACTGTAGGGGAAAATACTATAGCCCACCCTTAGGCTTCCTGCCATGTCTCCTTCTTTCCTTTTGTTATGTTTCTGGCAGCCTCCCTACACAAGTTTATTTAAATTTTGAAAAGGTAAAGGACCCTTGACAGTTAAGTCCAGTCGCGAACGACTCTGGGGTTGCGGCGCTCATCTCGCTTTACAGGCCAAGGGAGCCAATGTTTGTCCACTTCCGCAGACAGTTTTTTCCGGGTCATGTGGCCAGCATGACTAAGCCGCTTATGGCGAAACAAGAGCAGCACACTTGACGTGCTTTTGAACTTCTAGGTTGGCAGGAACAGGGACCAAGCAACGGGAGCTCACCCCATCATGGGGATTCAAACTGCCGATCTTCTGATTGGCAAGCCCTAGGCTCAGTGGTTTAGACCACAGCACCACCCGTGTCCTAGGTTATTTAAATTAGCAATAAGTTATTTGAACTTAATCTTGGCTTCCATTGATAAAAAGCAAAAGTTTCGCTGGAATCTCAGTGAAAAGGTATCACACATTATTCTCTAATAGCAAGTGGTATGAAGGTGTATAGATATAGATATTCTTTCCAGTTCTTCTGAGCCCTTGCAAACCATTGGGATACAAAGATGGGAAGTAAATTATGTACATATCTGTTGTTCTTGTCTTGCCTTTCATGCTCTTTGAACAGCATGAACCAGGGTATAGCTTAAATTGAGAGTACTAAATCACTATCCAAGTGTCCTTATCAATCTCTACTATGTACTTGTTTGGAGCCGCTCTTTGCTTTAGTGCGCACAGTAGCGGAGGTGAACCATGCCAGTCATTTGTTTGTGCTGTAGAGATTCTGCTGTAGTTAGGTAGTTCTCTTGTTTCCTTTGCATTGTTTTTATTGTCAGAACTAGTCAGCGTACCTGGGGGGGAAAGCCTCTTTCCTGTAAGGGGCATAATCATTGCAGGATATCACCAGTTGTTTATTTGTAAAGCATATCCCACTTAGATCCCCCCAAAAAGAAACTTAAAGTGGCAACAATAAAATATACAGGCTTCCCGTCATTTACACGCATTCAAGTCATGCACCACTGCGCATACGTGCAGTGCCAAAAACCCAGAAGGGGAGGAAGAAACCTGAAAAGCTTCAACAAAGTCCCACGGCACCTCCAGCTTATAAGGAGACTTTCCCTAGAACCCAAAAGGGGAGTCCTCTTCCCACTCCTGGAAGGTTCTCCTCGCAAGCCAGAGGGGCTGTGGTGTGTTCCTTTTTTATGTGTGCAGGGGGCCAGAACATAACCTCTGCATAAATGGGGAGTCACCTGTACATACAATGTAATCATATCAACTAAACTACCACCAGAAAATACCAACATCAGAAAAACAATACCTCCCCAAAACAAAGTGAAGGCACAGAAAAAGCAAAACAGCCTTAACATACTCATAATGAGGAGATAATGTGTTCTTTTCAGCTAAATGCCTTCTTAACCAGGTTTTGGTAAATACTTAAAGCTGTGTAGTGCTGGGGGGGTTTGATCAATCTCCGCTAAAAGGGGTGGTTGTCACCACCAACCAGGTCTTACTCCTTGTTGGTCCCTGCTGAGCCTCACGTGGCTGAGGAATCTGGACCAAAGTCGCAGATAATGAATGGAACATGCAGGAAAGAACACATAGAAGACAGGACCATTCTGTTCCTTTCCTTTCTGATGTGCCATGTCTTGAAATCGAGACTATGAGCAGAGCCTGCTTTCATATTCAACTGCCGCTAATAATTTTAGACACTTTATAAATTAACGATAATAACACCTTGTGGCTCTACCTTGGCCCTTCCCTTCCATCGGTGGTTGTCTGCTGTGGGTTATCCATTGGGCTTGCATAAGGCTGCTGTAAGAGCTTGGAACTTAGAAAGAAGATGATAGAAAAATGTCCACAGGCCTAGCCAGCTCATGCAGGTAAGAGTCTACAGCCTGATGGGATGGCAGAGTGAAAACCATTCCCAGAACCTTCTGCCCTGGTGGTCTAACCAACCCACACTTAGAAGTGTTCGGCATGTCAGAGAGATTTCCGAAAGGATTAATGAAATGCTTTTTGGAGCCATTGGTTGCTTTGTTTTCAGTCACTTCTTAAGTGAATGCTGCAAATATAAAACACTAGGTTTTCTCAAGGATGGAGGATTCCAGCACTTCTTTCATTGTAAAAATGCCCCTTGTAATAACCACATGTTTAGTTTGTTGCACATCTTGAATGAATTTACTAGTTTTCCATGATGCTATTGTTTTCCATTTTGTGTGATTTCATAAATTGCAACATTTCCATTCCTATTCAACACCATGGTACAGTAATGGGCGTTGTAAAGGACTGAGAAAGGAAAGTTTAAAAAAATGTCTGTGTGTGTGTGTTTTAAAAAAACAACATGTACCTATTTATCTACTTGCACTGTGTGCTTTCGAACTGCTAGGTTGGCAGAAACTGGGACAGAGCAATGGGAGCTCACCCCGTCGCACAGATTCGAATTGTCAACCCAAAGCATATGGACTGTGGCAGTCCAACTGAAGCCTTTTGGAGACTAATGTATTCAGAAGAAGTTAGGAACATTTCAAAAAGTTTAGAGCTGGGATGGAGAGCCTGAGGTCTCCCAGAGGTTGTTAGTCTCCCAAGTCCCATCAGCCCCAGCCAGCAAAGCCAATGGCCAGGCATGATGGGCACTGTAGTCCAACAGCAATTGGGTGGCCAAAGGTTCTCAAACTCTGGTTTAGGACAAAAATGTTTTAGGAAACGTGGAATCTAGATGGCAATTTGAAGAGGCCCCAATATAAGACTTACAGCATTTAGTCTTGCTCTAATACTCTTGGTATTCCTGCAGGCATACATACACACAAGTCCATATAAGCTGCCTTTTCTCCTGTGATATTAAATAAACATTGCCATTACATTTCCAACTTTTCATACTGTATATGAAGCAAGAAGAATCATATCATTCTCGCAGTTATATTATTATTTAATTCTCCTTCTTTTCCCCTTTGTATTTTAATTAATTTGATAGTAAGCCTTAAGGCAAAGCCTTTTATATTTTCTTTAAACTATTTTTGTAGAGTACCTCATTCATTTTAGGTGCTTTTTAAAAAATTAAAAGGAGGGACTCGGCAGTAATCTACACCTAAAGGATATTCTGGGCCCTTTAAAACAGAGCAGCTTGTGATCTCTGGAATGGAGCAAGCATTCTGAATACCTTGCGTCAAGCCCTGAACAAATAGCACAGAAACAGCAGTACTGTACAAAGTGAAATCTGACATCTCAGTGTTAGGGGAAAGGAATTCTCCTGTATGGCTTGATTGTTATCTACATCTTCAAGTGGGTTTATTAGCAATTTAATGGAATATTGGTTATTCAAGGGCAATAGTAGCTCCAGCTGAAATGTCCATTATACTCTCTTTTTCCCATGCACTTTGGAATGAGTAGAATGTGACAGCTGAGCTTTCAGCAAGCTTCATGAATTTTAAATACTTTTCATTGCAAAAAAAAGGAGGGGGGAAATGGGGCACATGGCGTGTGGTCAATGGTGGACTTGGAACTAGCAGTCAGTCTGGGTATTATGGGATATTGGGTGTCTCAAAGATAATGAATGCTTCGCTTATGCAGGTGCATTCTTGGCCTACCGTGCAGGTCCCGGCAGAATAGACTGTGCCTCTCTCAGTCCAGCATCTAACAATTGACCATTTTGTAATTGTGAGCAGAAAAGTATTTAGAATGTTGCTTTCTCAGCATACTTGTCTAAGATTTACATTTTCTGTCATCGTCTCTATCCAACCAAATATTTACTGGTATTTTGCAGCTAATTATCGGCAAAAGTTTTCCATGCCTCCGCAACTTATTCCCGTATTTCATCATGTACATTTTGACCAGAATTCTCCCTTCCTTAACCCTCCTTCGCCCTTAGGCCTCAAACTTTTTAATATAATTTTCACCCTTGTTCTAAATAATATGCACGTATAAAGCTGTACTCCATTAATGTAATATTCACACAGGCTAAAAATAGCACACACGTATACCTAAGTGACGGTGTTGTTTAAAGAGCCCTTCACATGCCTGTTTTATAGCTCTTGCATTAAGTGCTTTTCAAATTAAAGGAACAGTCAAAAACTGTAGCATGTGGGGGTGGGGGCTGCTGATAGTGAAACCGATGTGGGGAGCAGAACTGTGAATCCTTATGACTTTATGCTTAGGATTGGTTGAAGGAGAGAGATATGTCAATTAAACCTGAATGTTATGTGTACACAAACATGCTTTGTTCGTGGAAGCAACCCAGCCAGATGGGCGGGGTATAAATAATATGATGATGATGAAGCAAACAGTTGAACACTCAAATAGGAAAATTAAGAGTTTCACTTACAAACGAGAAAGAAATTAAGATTTGGATGCATGCTGCAAGCTCATGTTTAGAGCTTGAAAACATAACTTACAGAGTTGCTTGGACATCTGTTTGACCTGGAGCAGTAAGGAATGGGCATCTCTGTGGAAAGCAGTGATGGGGCCTCAAAACCTAATACAGTCATACCTCGGGATAAATACGCTTCAGGTTGAGCGCAATTGGGTTGCGCTCCGCGGCGACCCGGAAGTAACGGAGCGTGTTACTTCTGGGTTTCGCCGCTCGCGCATGCGCAGACACTCAAAATGATGTCGCGCGCATGCGCGGAAGTGGCGAAATGCGACCCACGCACACGCAGGCTCGCTGTCGCGTCTTACGTTATGTTCAGGATGTGAACGGGGCTCCGGAATGGATCCCGTTCGCATCCCGAGGTACCACTGTACTAGCTAGAGCCTTAACAATTTCCTGTACCGCTGGCTTGTTTGTTTCACTAATAATATTTCTTTAGAGGTGGTGCTGATAGGCTTGTTCAGCATTGCCATTTGTTCTCAGAGAAGAGGGTTAGGAGGCAAGGAAGGAATTTTAACGTACTTTCATGTAGTCTATAGAACCAAGTTCTGAACAAGGCATTCACAGTGGGAGAAATTCAGCTCCCACCAAATGACATTTCAGCTCCTGTGTTGGGTTAAGTTAAGAATACTTCTTTGCTGGCCATTTTCTAGAGGGTATGCAAAGACCAACAGAGCCATGGCCTTTTTTTGACATAGATCAGGCATAGGCAAACTCAGCCCTCCATATGTTTTTGGGACTACTACTCCCATCATCCCTAGCTAACAGGACCAGTGGTCAGGGATGATGGTAGTTGTAGTCCCAAAAAACATACGGAGGGTCGAGTTTGCCTATGCCTGACACAGATCCAGGCATTTGTTCAAGGTTTTCAGCTTTCAAGCCAATTTTATAAAATGTTGTACGCTGTTTGCACCGGGCAGCTAAGAAAATAAAGGGTTCGTCTCCCTGTTTCTTTTCCCTCCCTCCATTCTGCTCATCAATCTGTCATTTCTGTTCTCATTTTGAAAACATTTGTTTTGTTGCCAGAGTTGAGATAACCAAGTGCCAATAAATAACTTTTTAAGAAAGGGCTTTCATTTGAAGCACATTGGCACAACTGTGGAAGGGATAGATATTTTGCATATAGCAGCTGAGGCAGTTGATGAACTGCATCTATGCAAAGACTAATGAGTTCCATTTTAAAGTGGAGGGGCCAAGGAAATACGATTCTTATAAATGCCATCAAACACATTTAATATCCTTTTTCTTCAAACGTAGCTCAGCTGGCTTAAACCCAGAGTCTCTCGACCAGATTTATTATGGATTAGATGCATTCCATCTCACAACAGGAATGTGCTTATTTGGGGTGGGGGAATCACAGCACAGAGCAATAAAGGCTTAAGCATTCAGCCACTTGATATATTAATGGGTAGCAGTTATTATAAAAGCCTTCTGTTGTGTGCTCTTAAACTTAAAATTGAGTCTACATGCAGCTTTCTTTTAGAAAGGGCATGTGTACAAATGCAGGCCGTTTTCTCTTCTTCTGTAAGCAAACATACAACTTGCTTTCTAGGGCGAGCTTAAAAACACAGTTGTGAACTTCCAACATAATAAAATTTAGCGGACATCAGAACACCAGTGGAGAGCACCTGATGTTTGGAGCTTCTGATATTATAAGCCCATTCCCCACTGCACCGATCACAAAATTCCTCGAGTAGTTTAGCAACCCTTTATACAATAAAAAAATAAAATTAAATAAATAAGAGGGTTGGACTTCCCTTCTGACTCTACCGTTCTATGATTATATGCTTCTAAGGAAGGATAAATTGACTCAAGGGCTTCAATATTGGATCTGGGCACAGGGGGACCTAAGTTAAGTTCAGGCTCAGTTAAAGGGCTCGGGTTCAATGCCTTCTCGGTCATACTCTGTTCTGGCTATGACACTGCTGGAATCTGAGGTCATGGAGGTTTTCCCGTTGAAATCTTCTCCCAACCCCCCGGAGCTGCTAATAGTCCACTGCAGGCAGTTGGGGGAGGGGAGACAAGTATAATGGGGTTACATTATGCCCATTAGCAACTGGGGGGTGATCATTTTGAGAGGAAATAAGTGGTGCAGGGAGGAAATAATTAACCTTCTTCATATCTATCTATCTATCTATCTATCTATCTACTATCTATCTATCTACCGTATTTTTCGGACTATGACCGCCCATGGACTAGTTCGAAATCAGAAAAAATTCTGGGAGCACGGACAGGCTGCACAGCCTGTCCTAAGACCTTCTCCTGCTTTGCGGGAGGTGGGGAATCCCACTCCAAGCCGCGCCTGCGGGCGACAGGGGACTACGCCAGTCAGTCCCCGAAAGAGCGCCTTACGGGGAGGTGGGATCTCCACTCCTAGAAACCGCGGGCCTTTAAGCGCCCGGGCGGAGGTGGGGCCTCCGCCGAGAGGGACTGGCTGCAGTCAGTCCTCCTTCTTGAAACCGGTGCTGGAGAGTGGATCCACTCCTAAGCGGAAGGCGTGCTCTTTTGCGGAGGGATCCCATCCCAAGTTGGGATAGCGGGCGCGCGCTCTGCCCTGGGGCTGGTGGGGCCCCCGCAGCTGCGGACGGCGGCGCCGCCCGCTGCCCCCTCTGGGGGCGATGGCGCCCCACCGCCAGCCTCGAGCCGGGTTGGAGGGTAGCGGCAAGGCGTCGCGCGCCTTCCCGCTGCCCCCATCCTCTGGGGCTGGCGATGGGGAAGCGCTGCTTCCCCACCGCCAGCCTCAGGCCGGGTTGGAGGGTAGCGGCAAGGCGTCGCGCGCCTTCTCGCTGCCCCCATCCTCTGGGGCTGGCGATGGGGAAGCGCTGCTTCCCCACCGCCAGCCTCAAAGAGCAGACTCTCCTGGCTTCAGCGGAGCAACGCGAAGCCTCCGGAGCGCAGGCTCGGAGGCTTCGCATTGCTATCGCTGAAGCCGAGGAGTCTGCATTCGCTCCATAGGACGCACACACATTTCCCCTTCATTTTTGGAGGGGAAAAAGTGCGTCCTATGGTCCGAAAAATACGGTATATCTGGTCACAGTTACTCAGTGCTGCACCTAGCTTTCACCCAGAGAGAGAGAGAGATTTTAAAGTTTGAAACAGTTCATAATATTATTAATGGGCATTGAACTAATATGATCAACTCAGGTCATGGCTTCATGGTTTCTTTAAATGAATTCACTGTTTTGTACCACTGCACTCATTTTTTTTTACGAGTGAAATAATTTTTTAAGTCTGGTTCATATTGATTCAATATTTAAGCTTTGACACATGCAGGCAAATAGATTTTTAAAGAAATTATGACCTAGCTTATGAGTTCTCTCACTACTTAAATTCATCTGTCTCATCTCTTCTGTACCACGAGGTTAAACGAATCTCCACTTAATCTCAGCCAATTCACTTGGTATTGCTATGCCATCACAGGCAGCAGAGACATTTGCTTTCTTTGTGGCCGGCATAAGCCTCGGTACTCCTAAGAACCTGCCTTTTGCTTTGCTTCCACCTGCCTTATCATATTGATGCGACCTCTTCCCATAGCAGCGAGTTCTGTATACTGAGTGTTATCCAGAAAAATCAATGGAACCTTACAACCAGTTCTCATGTTACTTTTGTGACTTGTTTTGTCTTCGCACATGAGGGCAGCTCATATGGCAGTGAACCAGTAACTTGAATTTTGCAATTGCAGCAAGATCCATGATTCAGAATGGTCAGTGCAATTGCTAGACTTATGGTGTCTAAAAGTATTTTTGTTGGCATCCGTTGAGAGGCAAATGAAAGAGCATGCCTTCAGGGGTGAAGTCAAACCATTGGAGAGTTGAAGTGCTTGCTGTGGCTGTAGAGACCGATACGGGAGAGACGTGTTTTATTGCAGGTGGGGCAGTTAGATGTGGCATCCAGTTTTGCTGCCACAGGTGCACCATGGTGTGTGTTCTCTCTTTGCTCCTCCCAATTGTCTTTCCTTCTCTGGTCACTGCTGTGGATAAACAACCTGACTGTCTGTCCCCAGGCACTGAGATCATCTGCAAGGGATTCCCATATGGCAGGGGTTAATGTTCCCAGCCTGCATGTCACTTTTGCAGACATGTTTGTAACACAGAGTTGTACTGCCAACACCTGAACTACTTGCTACAAACAAGCAAGGACTGTTTTGTTAGCTGTGCGCAATCACGCCACCTTTTGCAAAGAAAATGCCCAGTGCACACCAAATTAGATATTTAATGTCTATCAAGGAATAAGTGTAGAAATCAGAGCAGAGCAATTGCAAGTTTGTCAAGGAGTGGACAACTCGGAATACCCAAGTTGTTAATTTACTATGGTGGTCTATTTGCGTGTCAAGACCCCGCAACCACCCCCTCGTTGAAGAATAAACACACAGGACACAAATATTAGGTTAATGTTATTGGGCAAATTTTGGCCACAACTTTATTCATTACAAAATGTGAGCGGTATTGGCTTAGGCATTGAATGAACCGGACTGTATCTGACTCCTGCGTTGCGCAGGGAGTCTGGTAAGGGTAAACCACCAGAAGGGGGAGCCCCGTCGATGCAGACCAACTCGAGCTCCCCCAGGTGTTCCTGATGGGGTTGTGGCATGGCCCTAGCCTAGCCCCGGACTTTGGACAAGATCCACACACCCCGGATTCCTTTAACAGAATACCCTTAAGCTTGGAGAAGCAGGTGATGGGCACACCTCACCTCCCCCATCATAAGGTCAAACAATGCCTAACCGCAAAACCTTACAAAGTTGTGACGATTGCTACGAGGTAGGCGAAAACCAAATGGCCCCATGCCAATTTTGCCAAGTAGAAAAATTCCTACCAGGCCCCTCAATGGCCACGCCCCCACCAGCCAGAGGATTGGCTGGCTGCTCGTTGATGTGGCCGGGATCCCCCGGGCAACACAAGACTTTGTCCCCCGCCCCGGAGGTGAGTGGGTGGCCACGCGGTCCACCGCAACTCCTCCCCAAAATGAAGTGGAGCAGACTTCCTGCCCCCCGCCATGCATTAGCACAATTGACAACTTTTAATTGTAAGATAAAAATGGCTTCTGGGCACAGAAGTTTTCTAGTTCAGGAGTGGTGCTGTAGTTAAGATGCTTGAAGTGCTTTTATGTGGATGCCCAGAAGACTTTACAACAGATTCCCAGAAATTTACATTCAGTCTTGCAGGGCATGCGTGACTAATGTCAAAGTGTTGCCTTTGAAATGCATTTTGGGGACTCTTCAGTATCACAAAGCAAATGTAAAGATAAAGGTACCCCTGCCCATTCGGGCCAGTCTTGCCAGACTCTAGGGTTGTGCGCTCATCTCACTCTATAGGCCGGGAGCCAGCGCTGTCCGCAGACACTTCCGGGTCACGTGGCCAGCGTGACAAGCTGCCTCTGGCGAGCCAGCGCAGCACACGGAAAGCCGTTTACCTTCCCGCTGGTAAGCGGTCCCTATTTATTTACTTGTACCTGGAGGTGCTTTCGAACTGCTAGGTTGGCAGGCACTGGGACCGAATGACGGGAGCGCACCCCGCCGCGGGGATTCGAACTGCCGACCATGCGATCGGCAAGTCCTAGGCGCTGAGGTTTTACCCACAGCGCCACCCGCGTCCCTAAAAAGCAAATGAGGTACTCACAAGTCCAAGCTGTGCAATAAATCTTGAAATATTTTATTTGGTTAACCCCTCCCAACTGATTGATTTTGGGGGGGCGGAGGGGGGGCTTTTCTTTCATTTGAATCTACCTTCACAAAAATAAGTAGACTTTCCTAATAACACCAATCATCAGTGTGATTATGCCAGATTGAAAGTTGGTTCTCTAAACTTGGCTAAAAAAGCATATCACCTTTAAATAAATTTCCGGACATCTCTTTTTGGTTTGATATGTGGATGTTCCAGTACAGCAGATACAATGCCGGACAATATGCATGGTTAAAAGCTGTGCCTAGGGCTGCAGTCTTTAAATGAAATTCTAAAATGTGTCCTTTTCCAAACAGGTTGAAGTAATGAAGAGAGCACTTGAAAGCCTTAACCTGAATATTGTAGAGATGACAGATGAACATGCAACCTTAGATGGAGGAGATGTTTTATTTACAGGTACAGTAAAATAAAATATGAAACTTTGCCACATAATGTTTTGGCTGCACAGACAGCTTGATGGTAAGGTACTGATTAAAAAAAACCATTTCCCGTTTCTCCTTACATTTTCATTAGTTAATTTGCTTGTCCAACAGTAACATGAGACTTTGAACACAGGAAATAATTTCCTAATGCAATAGAATAACAAGCGAATTAGGAGAAGTAAACTATGTTGTTGTTGTTGTTTATTTCATTTCTATCCCATCCTTCCTCCCAAAGGGGTCTGAGATGGCAAAGCAACAAGACAACACAATTACAAACAAAATAAGAGCATTAATAGTATCTAAAAACAATTTTAAAGTGCTATCAACAGGAGTTGCTCATATCACACAGGTGCCCTGAGTTTTTTTTTGTGTTAATCAGTCTGTTTTATTTTATAGGTTGCTTGGAAAAAATAATGTTAGTACAGTCGTACCTTGAAAGCCTTGCGAGATGAACGTTTTGGCTCCCGAACTCCGCAAACCTGGAAGTGATTTTTCCGGTTTGCAAACATTCTTTGGAACCCAAATGTCTGCCGTGACTTCCGATTGGCTGCAGCCAATTGGAAGCTGCACCTTGGTTCCCAAATGTTTTGGAAGCTGAACGGACTTCTGGAATGGATTCCGTTCAACTTCCGAGGTATGACTGTATTAAGATTGCATCAAAGGTCAATTATCCAGGCCCCGCTGCTCCTTCTCATTGCCGTTGCTGCTTGTTCACCTGCCCTTTTTAAGCTAGTGAGCAGTGAGATGGTGAACAAGAAGGAATGGGAACCTCCAGAAACCTTGCTCTCTCTCAGTTGCTGCCACTGGGAGATTATGCTGATTGGGCACAGAGGGAGAGTCAAGTGAATGGGCAGCAAAAGTGATAGGAAAAAAAGTTGGCTTCATTCTGAGATGAGTAGCTCATTGAGATGATCGTGCCCACACAATCTAGGTGTAGCGCAGGTTACTGTGCTGATCTCAAAAGGACAGGAGACCAGGCAAGAACAATAGTACTTTTCAAAGGGTCCAGTGTCTATTTCTATGTATGTATAAGCCTTCTGGTTTTTTGGAGTATTATTCTTTTGTCTATCTGAAGGAAGTGATGGTGTTATACTTGTAAGTTACTATTTCTAAAAAAATTAAACTATAATTAAACTTGATGTTGCAAGATTGTGTGTCTATGTTTTCAAAGGACATTTCTTTGTTCAGTTTACTTATTCAAATGATGTTAACTTCAACAAGATTGGACAAAAACATTATTGCATATGAACTCAATCATGCCTATTAATATTTTCTTTTCTCAGGCAGGGAGTTTTTCGTTGGTCTTTCAAAGCGGACCAATCGACGTGGTGCAGAAATTCTGGCAGACACCTTTAAGGTTAGCAGAGTTGCAGATTCACCTTCAGATGGGGGATCCAATGCGTGGTAAAGTTTAGCACACTGTGTAAAAGGAAGGAGCCAATATATATGCCAGTACTGAGGCATCTTCTGTGGACAATTCAAGGCATTAACACAGTGCAAGGACTAAAAACAAATAAGAGAGATTACTACAGTTCTGTGCTATAATAACACATTTATTTTTTGTTTCAATTTGGGGGGGGCTGTGAGGCTGGAAAATGGATTGTTCATCTTTTCTTACTTCATTTTTACACTATAAATAACATTCTGCTGAGGCACACAGTGTCATTGTAGGAAAGAGGACAGAGTGCTTGTCTTAAATTGCTGAGACCTGGGTTCAAAGGTCCACCGCACCATGAAACTCACTTGGTTCTGGTGGGTCATGATGACAAGGCATGGTTCCATGAGAACTTGGAGAAAAAGTGAGAAAAAAATATATAATTGAAAAACATGTCTTATGCTGCAATCATATGCACAAGGTACTGGGAGTGCGGGACTTAAGTCCAAATAAACATGCATAAGATTTGCAGGTTACAGCTTATCTTTCATTTTGATTTAAAAAGTGGTTGGCATTCCCGAAAAGTTGATGTTTCAATATTTCTTCTTTGTCTGAACATGTATGGATGGAAGATGTTTTGAAGATACATACAAGGAATAAAGAGCATTTTGTTCAATCTGCATTTTTAAGCAGACTGACCTAATTTGCACATCCCAGACTAATAAACTAATTAGAACATTATTATACTTCTAATTTCCTCACTGCTCTGAATTTTGCAATCCAGAAACATTCCAAAGTTGTTGTTTTTAATTGACTATTTTAGAAATGCTTATTTTAAATAAGTATTTTGTATAATATACAGTACACTTATTTTGTGATAATTTACATATTTAAATACTCATGAGTATTGGAATACAAATTCTTGCATGGGTGGTGGTGAAAGTTGTAAATTGCAGATCAACGTGGAAATGGGATGGGAGGAGGCTTAGGTCTAAACACATGGAAAAATTAACATGGACTGGGAATAAACTGATCCATCCTATCCCTACACATGAAACAGTTCTATTAGTAGTGCTAAGCAGATCCGACGCAGAGCAGGGGTGGAGATACCTGCAACCCCCATGATGTCATTAGATTAACTTCCATTTGCTCTAGCCAGTATGACCAATGATCATGGATGATTGGAGCAGCTAATAATAATAATAATAATAATAATAATAATAATTTATTTATACCCCACCCATCTGGCTGGGTTTCTCTAGCCACTCTGGGCGGCTTCCAGCAGAATATTAAAATACAATGATTCATCCAGTATTAAAAGCTTCCCTAAAAAGGGCTGCCTTCAGATGTCTTCTAAAAGTCCGATAGTTGTTTATTTCTTTGACATCTAATGGGTGGGCGCCACTATCTAGCCTAGATGGGAGACTTCCAAGGAGCCATACATCAGATGTTCAAACTCTTTGGAGGAAGAATGGAGTAAAGTATAATAAATCATTAATTTCTGAAATCATAATTGAAATATTATTTTGAACATTATTTCCCATCCAAACCACATTGTAAGAATGGCAATCTGCTGGCTTCCGCATAACCTGCTTCCATGGAAAGTATTCAGGAGAAGGGTGCCTGTTACTAGGAAACTGTTGTGTCCTTTTTATGCTCATAGACACTCAACATTTCTTTTTTTAGAGGCTCTTGAAGTCAAAGTGTCGATTTTATGGAGGCTTCTTTTGCATGTTAATGAAGCATTTTTTTATCTACTTGTTTCCTGAAACAACGATGGCACTGAAGTAGAACTCTCCGTAGAAAATTGCTGTGGTTCCAAGAGTTGACTTAGAACTTAAGACACACAAATTCATTAATGCACAGGGGTGGAGGGTGCAATTTATAATTGTGTTAGTTTACGAGATTACCAGTCTAACGCATTTCCTTTGCAAATGCCTAATTTCTATACAGGATTATGCCGTTTCTACAGTCCCTGTTTCTGACTCCTTGCATCTGAAGAGTTTCTGCAGTATGGCTGGGCCAAACCTCATTGCTATTGGTTCAAGTGAAGCTGCACAGAAAGCCCTCAAGGTAAAGCATGCTAAAAATAGCCTGTGCTTAAAAAACATTGCTTTTAGACTCAGTGTTTCCTTACAGACTCCATGTAAGAGGGAATCCGGCCTACGCAAGCTGCAAGGATCAACAGCCTCAGCAACTTGAAAATGAAGAACCGTTCCAGCTGTGATATTAAATACATCTTTGTTATTCACTTAAAAAAAATAAGTGCCAGTAATGTCAGCATGAGGGGTTGATTGTTTTGGGGATCACAGCAGATGTGCAGGGGGAAATTAACACTTTCCTCTCCTGCTGTGGTGCTACAGAGAACCCCCCCCCCCCCCCAGCTATCATTTACTTGGAGTAAAATAAGCAGAATGTATGTTGAGAGATGGGGGTAATGGGAAACTGTGGGGAGCTGAATGAAATGGAGTATCCTGAAATGGAGTATTGCATGCTAACTGGAACACTGGAGAAACCTTCTGCACTGCAGCATTTTATTATTACAGGTCCCACTTGTGTTAGAGATGTAGCAGAAACCAAAAGTGAAGTAAGCAGTGTTTTAAGAAGGAAATAGCAGTTATGCATGCTTATTGTTAGTGGGACGCGGGTGGCGCAGTGGGTTAAACCACAGAGCCTAGGACTTGCCAATCAGAAGGTCGGCGGTTCGAATCCCCACGACGGGGTGAGCTCCCGTTGTTCGGTCCCAGCTCCTGCCAACCTAGCAGTTCGAAAGCACGTCAAAGTGCAAGTAGATAAATAGGTACTGCTCCAGCGGGAAGGTAAATAGCATTTCTGTGCGCTGCTCTGGTTCGCCAGAAGCGGCTTAGTCATGCTGGCCACATGACCCGGAAGCTGTACCCCGGCTCCCTCAGCCAATAAAGCAAGATGAGCGCCACAACCCCAGAGTCGGCCACGACTGGACCTAATGGTCAGGGGTCCCTTTACCTTTATGCTTATTGTTCTGTACTCCCCTGCTCATCGTTCTTCCCAGTCACTGCATAAGTTGCAGGCCGCCATTGTGTTCAATTATAATATCTGAACCCAGGCCAAAATGCACATGCTAAAGTAATCATCAGGTTTGGGGGTGGGGGAAGGGTGCTGCTATGATTTTTGAGAGCAAGCAGGTAGGAATGTTAGCATCCTTGTCAGAAATCTTCGGGTCCTTGCTGTTACTCAAGTAAATTAACTAACCTGTTTATGGGGTATGTTGTACAGACTCATCTGGCCGTAGTGCATTTTGCTCAGTGGTACAAGCAGTATTGGTTGCAAGTCCCTCTCACCATCACGGAGTGTACATTACACAGAATAGGACTGGAATGTGGCTTCTATTCCTTATCAGAATAGCAGTGGCATCTCTTTCCAAATTCCTGTGCGCTCTCGTCCGCTGGGGACCTGTTCAGCAAAGAGTGTAAGGGAAGCTGGAAAGAAGGTCCAGAGAAAGTTGGTGACTCTTGTTTGGATCTTTGCCATCACTTTATTTAACTTAATTTGGGTGCCTCATATGCTGAGTGTGTGTGAGAGAAAGAGAGAGAGCGTTACTGAACCAGCAATAGAACGGCTTCCCTGAAGGCAACTTGGTATTCTGCAGTTTAAGCTGCTATCACTTGAATCCAGCCAACACCAAGAATCCCAGGGGACAGATAAATCATACATTCAGGATTCCAGTGCATACATTCTGAGCCCTCTGGTACTGAGGTGTGAGCTTGGAGGAGGAGGTTGTGTACAAAAACTTACATGTGTAGTAAAAGACTGAACATTTCCTGAGTTATTGTTACGTCCGACCTGTTTTTTGAAAACACGTGGCTTGAAATACTCCCTCTGGTTGAGCATGCCCTCATAATTACTGATCTTTTGTTTTGGCAGATGCCTGCTATCTGTGCTAGGGTTAGCAGCCTACTTTAAAAATATAACTGTTGTTGCTGAGGGAGTTATAAATATTATGTTTATCTCTTGGTTTAGGAAATGTGTTAAGCAAGGATGATTTGACCCTCCCCAACCAATAACTACACATTTGTCTGTGTTAACTGGAAGAAACTGTTACCTTAATTAAATTTCTTCAAAATGTCATCGATTTTTATGTACGGAAAGACTTTTTAAAAAACTTTTTTATTAGCAAAAACATGCATACAAAATACACAGAAAAAACAAACAATTAAGAAAAGCATGCATAAAAAAGAAAATTGAACATGATAAGGTAGTCTTACAATGTTTGTACTTAGATTAATATAACTCCTGGTTTATATATAGTGAAATCATTTAGAAGTCTAATATAAAACAAAAGGAAAAAACAAAAACAAAAAAGATTAAATCAGATTAACTACTTAGACAATAAAAATGCCTATCTATTGATATAATTTGAACCCATATTAATGTTTTTTGTACATTATAACATTCATCATTATAACATTCATTTTGGGTTGAATCCCTTTTCCATTGTTGTATTGTTGACTTCATTCTACCTCATTACAGTTTTAATATAAATGTTTCTGTTTTCTACCCTGTCTTTGATTATTAATCCTCATCTTGGAATGAGGAGAAAATATTTTGCTGTCTGCAAAATTATTCAAAACACAGCCAAGTCTTGTTGTTGGAACCTTGTTTTATCAAGTAGTTATTAAAACATTCCCATTCTTTTTTAATTTTATCTGTTGGTTGATTTCTTACTAACTCTGTCATTTTCACAAGTTCCAAGTACTCACATAATTTTAGTTGCCATCCCTCTCTTGATGATGTGAGTTCACTCTTCCACTATTTGGCTTATTTTAAGCAGTGAATTAATCTGTTAAAGTGCAAAATAGCCAATTGACTCTGGAAACCCTATAGCTGATTGACAGTTCTAGAGCATGCATATTCTCAAATTCATGACTTGACTTCCACTACCCCCATCCACGAGCTTTAATTTCTTTTGGAATACCTCAATACTAGACAAAAGCCTTTTTAATTAGCACATTAAGCCAGGCAGAGTACCCAAAAGAAGATGGATTTTAAAAAAATAAAATTCTGGCTGTGCTTCTCTTTGTTGTTCCTTATCAGGAGTGACACATGAAAGTCATTTCAAAGTCAATGTTCTTCAGTGTAGAAAGTTCATCTCACCCTGCTGAAAGAGCAAGTTTACTATGATACCTGTGTGGCTAGCTTGCTATATTTTAAAGTTGCAAAAACTATATCAAATCAGAGGAAGATTGGAATTGAGTCGTGCATCAGTGTAAGTCAGGAACCATTTAAACTGCAGTGAGGCTAACTGGTGGTGTCAGGCTAAGGGAAGGAGATTTTGAGATAGGCAAGACTCCTATCAAAAGCAGGCAATTTCTAGGGCAGGTGCTTAATGGAACTTGGAAGGAACAGGAAATCTTCACTGTGTTCAACAATTGGCCTTCTGTGGTTGCTTGGCCTGCTTTGGATTAGCAAATCTGTTGAGCTGGGGAGATTTGTTTTTGTCTCCTATGCTGTAGTAGAAAAAGTTTTCCTACAGGACTAGCATAGGACTAGGAAGGACTCCAGGGGATAGCAAGAACTATCAGGTGCATCTCCAAGCATGTGTCTTGCTGCCCCACATATTTGATCAGAAACTTCATGAATGATCAAAGATAAATAAATTTAAAAGCCTTCACTCTGGGTTGGACTAGCCAACGGAGGCTTCACCTGAAGCACAAATAGCAGGGATTTTCGTTTTGTTTTGTCCAAACCATAGAAGAGAGAATGAGCGTGCCAAAGGTGATTCAGGCTTCCCTGCCACCACTATTTTACATATTGCATTCACATAATTAACGTCAGGACAAATGACATTGCCGAAAATGCAAACTTAAGTGGATACCCTTTGGGGAGCTCTGAACTAAGAACTAAGAAGAAGCAAGTAAGATGAAGATGAAAATATAGCCTAATTACTGCATTCCCTGCCACGATAGGGAAAAAGAATAACAGGAATATCCCAGGGCATGAAGAAACAGGCTTGAATTTACAATCACTCCACAAATTCTGGAAACTAAAAAATTCTGGAAATATACCGTAGCTCCATTAGTATGTGGCACCTGAAGGACTATCAAGTATATTGTGATGTAAGCTTTCATGGACTAAGAGTCCATTTCATCACTTACATGACCTGGGCTTCTTGAAAGGTTTGCAATCATCAGGGTGATGTCACGGCCAGATTTCTGACACTAGATCCCTTTGTAGAATTCCCCCATTGTAGCCTGAGTAGGTTCTGTTTTTCTTTTGCTGCTTTTGATGTACAGCAGAGCAGAAGCTGTACCCAAAGGGCTTGAATAATAGCTCTTTTCAGTGAAATGAAGTTTGGTCCTAAGGATGCAAAGGTTACACTGCAGCTCAGCCTGTAACTGAAATCGGATCTACTACCTAGAGCTCCATCTAGTGACTTCCCAGCAAGATCCAGAGGATTTCCCCCTCATTTTCTCTGTTTGAAAACAGAAAAGAAAAATGGTTTCTATTAAGATGAGCAGATGCTGCTGGGGGCATCAAACTGAATAAAGCTATTGTGAATGGCTCTTGTTTTGCTTTTTCCTCCTGTTTATAATTGCTGAGATTTTGTGTAACTCAGATTGTTTGTACTTGTTTGTTTGTTTGAAACGTTTTTACCCCCAAATTCCTTGATCTGCTGGTTTAACGACATGGGTTGTGATTGTAAGAGAGAAAACTGAAGACTTGAGGAGGTATAGTACAGAATCTACTACCTTATTTTGCATAAGGTATAGAAAAGGAATGGGGGACATGTGGTCCTGCAGATGTTGCTGGACTCCAGTAAGGCTCCACCAGTATAGCCAGTGGTCAGGTACGACAGGAGATGTAGTGTAGCAACATCTGAATGGTCATAGGTTCCCCATTCCTGGTGTTGTAAGATTTATTAGGCTGCAATCCTGTGGAAAAGTATAAGTGCCATTACGATACTATATCTTTATTGTCATTGTCCCATACAGAACAACGAAATTGAAAAATCTACATAAGACATTCAAAACCCAACAAGCCTGCTATCCCAGCTATCCCAACCTGGTTAGCCCCCTAAAAACTCTGATAACCCATTTTTAAATACAATATACTCCCATACAGACTCCTTATAATGCGTTTAAAACCAAAATTGCTTTTGGGTAGAAACTTTCTCAGGCGGCTAGTCCTAGTCTTTATAACTCTGTAGCTTCTTCCAGAAGGCAGAAGCTGAAAGAAATCATTTCCGGGGTGCGCACTGTTCTGCGCTATCCTCAGCTTTCTTATGGCACCTGGAAGCATAGATTTGATCCAAGGTGGGAAGAGTGCACCCAATTATTCTCTCCACAGTCTTTACAACCCTGGACAGCATTGTTTTTCCCCTGACCGTGCAGCTCCCAAACCACACACACAGACCATAAGTTAATACACTCTCCACAGTACAATGGTAAAATGCCATCAACAGGTCCTTTGAGAGATTGTTTTTCTGGAGGATTCTCAGAAAATATAACCTCTGCTGTGCTCTCTTCATCAGGTCTTTGCTGTTTTCTCCCCAGGTTAGGTCACCTCTCAACTCCATTCCCAGAAATCGAAACACCGAGACCTGTTCCATGCACTTCCCCCTAATAATAAGTGGCTGAATATTCAAGTTACATTTCCTTGAATGCGTTGGGACTTATCATGCATAGGATGGTGCTGCTGGTCTTAGTTTAATATTCATCTTGCTTGATGCAGGTTGCTGGTAGAACTAGTAGTTCTTCCTCTTCTGGATGGGATCCAAAACTAAGACCCAAAGTCAAGGGAGAGAAGATATAAACATTAAGGGCCGGCACTACCATTGGGCAGAGTGAAGCAGCTGTCTCAGGTGGCAGATGCTGGGGGCAGGGGGGCCACAATGAAGCACCAGAGGACAGAGCTGTGGATTCCATGTGGCCTGCCCTGCACCGCTAGGCTAGCCTCCTGCCCCCAGGTCACCAGTGTTGAAGTAAGATTCAATGATCTGTCCAGCTGGAATGGAGTGGGGTGGAATGGACTGGATTAAAAAAATAGGGATGACATGTTGTCTTTTGCCTCAGACAGCAAAATGGCATGGTCTGGCCCCGATAAATATCCATGCCTTCCAACATCTAAAGAGTCTTTAATAGGATCAGTAAGCAAAGGTCTTTCGTCCAAGATTTACTCTAGTGGCTAATGCTGGTTGTTATGAAGAAAGAAAGAAAAAAAATGAGGTAACTTGCACTCCCTTCCTAAACCCTCTTCCAGTAGGCCAGTAGTGCTTCTGACTTCCATCAGGAACTTTAGCTCTGAGAAGTCTGGAGCATGCTCCGTGTAACTTAGATTTCCACGTCAGCCAATAGATATCTATCTAAGTATTATGCTTTAAATGGCCTCACTATCCTGTGTTTTGTTTCTCGAGTCACTTTTTAGCAGCCCTTAGAGTCCTGCTGAGGCAATACTTGAACGGATGCCTATTTCTGATGTAATTCAGTTAAAGTTTCATTAGCCCTGGGGACACAGGCTAGACAAAATCACCACTAGGAATTACTGGAAGAACAAAAACCCACTTTATTCCTATTATGCTCTCCTTCTCATCCCTTCCTTCAAATGTAAATCCCAAGATTCTGCTTGTTTACTTAGCTGGCTGGGCAAACATGAATGTCCAGCTACCAGGCTCTGTCTAATCCTCTAGAGCTTGTATCAACTTTACCAGGCAATGTACTTCTGTGCTGCTTGCCGTAGGTGGACAGAGGCTCTGACTTATTCAATATCGAGTCCTGCTTCAAGCCATCTGTCATTTTCAGGCACCTCAGAGCTTTCCCCTTAGTTTCAAAAGGCTTTTGTACATGACAACCTGTATTCCCATTCAGGCTTAAGTACTATTGCATATGCGCCAGCAAAAAAACAACAAAAAACAAAACTTTGTGCATATTTTCTGGAATATTATATACTAGTTATTTTCCAGTTCACTAACTGCTGAGTTTACAGAGAAATGAAGAGGTAACATGCTTTACACTTGAGACTTCTGGCTGGTGCTGATCATTGTGTGCCACTGAATTGTTCTCCTCTTGATTGGGTTGGGTTCTTGGTGCAGATGTATACTGGACAGAACTTAGTGTGATCGGCAGCTGGGAGAGAGGGAGATGGAGGGAGGGTCTGCAAGGGGCACAGATACCCACAGGTTTGGTGGAACTGCAGCAGCTTGCAAATTTCTCTAGCATCTGAAACCCTATCTGAGGGTATTAGGAGCAAATAGGTAGAGCCATATAACATTTCCTGGGTAGATTCTGTGAGGACTGCTACACAGAGATCTAAACGGGTTGGCTTTTAATAATAATAATTTTATTATTTGTACTCCGCCCATCAGACTGAGTTGCCCCAGTCACTCTGGGCAGCTTCCAGCATATACAAAAACATAATAAAACATTAAATATTTATAAACTTCCCAATGCAGGGCTGCCTTCAGGTATCTTCTAAAGGTTATGGTATGTAGTTACTCATCTCCTTGACATCTGATAGGAGGGTGCTCCACAAGGTCGGTGCCACTACCGAGAAAGCCCTCTGCCTGTAACCTCACTTCTTTCAGGGAGGTAACCGCCAGAAGGCCCTCTGTGTCTGGACTGAATGATGGGGGTGGAGACACTCCTTCAGCTATACAGGGCTGAAGCCATTTAGGGCTTCAAAGGTCAGCACCAGCACTTTGAATTGTGCTCTGAAACGTTTGGAAATGCTGTTTTAAACGGCATGTGGTGAAAATGCTTTTCATCCTGGGTTTCCTAGGTATTCCCAACATATTGCTGTGTTAATTTTGGAAGTAATGGTAGTTTTCTACTACTTCAGCATAGTGGATGCTGATCGTTCTTAATTGCATAGCTGTAGTTGACACATTACTCTCCTAGTGAGACATTTGTCATGGGATATCAAAGTAATTGAAATAACACTAATTAGCTCCAAGTATATCTGTAAAGAGCAAATTAGCACAATTTCTCAAGAGCATTCTGACTGTAGGAGAGAGCACAGCAGCCATATAATAATTTTACCACTGGTGCTGAGGGCAGTTGAGTAAGAGCCCAACAACCCGAGACATAGAGAGCTGTATCCAATGTTAGTCCTGCTGAGAGTAGACCTATTGAAATGAGTGAACGTAAGTTAGTCATGTTCATTAACTTCTGTGGGTCTCCTCTGAGTACGACTAGCATTGGGTATAACCACAAAGAGTCAAGGACGGCACAATGTGTCCTTGTCTACATATGTGTATGCAAGGCATACGCACTGATGGAACACACATAGGTATGTATAACCAAGAGTCACAGTGTGCCCAGACTTGAGGTTTGCTTTTCTAAGAAGGGCAATTAGATGCAAGATAACAAGCCAAAGTTTAGTACACGTGTGGAGAACTACTGGCACTCATGCATAATTAGGCTCTCTAGGCTTCCCCCACCTGGCTTCCAAGACCAAGCTGCACCTTTTCTGAGAACCTGCTAAAACGCAACACAGCATCTCATGGGCCTGAATCTTCTGCCCTTCTTGGGCCCACGGCTCAGTAGTGTACCTGCTCCACATCTCCTGGGGCTATTGGAGAATTGTCAGCCATTTGTCTTCCACCCCTTGAATTCTCAGGTTTGATCTCCTGGTCTACTACTGTGTTCCTCCAGCTTAAGTTTATTTTCAAATGAAGTTATTCTAGGTTTTTAGTTTAATTCGTTCTCCTGCCAGGTTGACCTTCTCCACTATTTCAGTGTTGTTGCTTTTGACTGAATCCACACACTCGCTCAGATCGTCTGGCTTGTTGTCTAGCGTTGTCACCCAGCAATCTTTTAAGTTCCTGTTTAAAGGATGAATGTTGTTGCAATAACTTCCCCTTCGCTGCGTTAGTCAGCATTGCCAACGTTATTGGGGCTTCCTTGGAAGGAGATAAACTCCCTGTTTAGGAAATGTCTTTGGGGGTTCAGATGTAGCGAGAATATTGTTGCAGAAAATGCAATTGCAGATTAAGGAAGGCGGATTTGGAATTCCAGATCTGGAATTTGTATCCTCATGCTTATTTTTTGGCAATTATCGAACATTGGAGACCTGCTGAAGGTCTTAATCTCCCGAGTTGGGCAACCCTAGAGCATACATATACTCTTGGTTGGGCGGACAGTATTAGGATAAAAATATTTGAAAGTTCCTACAACTCCTGAAACAATTAAGTCAGCTAATGAAGGCTGATGCTGTTTTCAGAGCTTGCAGCATTCGTAGAACCTTCAGCTTTTAAAGTATGCTGAAACCTCATGTTATCAGTTCTGCCTTTCCCCACTATTCTACCACAAGCACAGAGATACTGTTTATTAAGCTGCAGGTCACTTTAGGCAGGCTTTGGGGTCCATTTTTACTGGGTGAGCCGGGTTGCTGCCTCGCTACGCCAGCATCTAGCAGGCACTGAAGCGCTGTCCCCTTATACATTTTTTGAAACTTTTTTTTTCAGATTTCTCTCTCTCTTTTGCTGCTGTTGCATAATAAACTGGGCGAATCTGTGATTGCGAAAGAGTTCAGCTAACCACAGAAACGCTGAGAGTACAGCAATTAACCATAGCAAAGAAAAGTTAGCAGAGAAATTAAGCTAGTAAACAAATGTGTGTTAAAAGTTTGGGACCCCTCTAATCATGTACCTCTGGCCACCCGGAGCTTGCCAGCTCTTGTGACTGGGGAAGCTGTCCGCTTGGCTTACGTAAATAGGAACTTGGCTTCCCTTGTTATTGTTCTTGTTTGCTTTCCTTTGCTTTTCTGAGGACCAACTTCCCTTCTCTTTCCCTGCTCGTGTTCCAAAAGACAGGATGTTCATTCTCCAAAATTTCTTGAATGCAACAGCAGTTTGAGCCATTTCCTGGACATGTTTTTTGCTTTCTGCAGGAGTTCCTATGCAATGGCTGAAGCTATGTCCCCAGTGCCACCTTGTTTCAAGGTTATATCAGAAGAGGCAGCAGAGCAGCTCAGGGACATCATATCAAGAGTAGTGCAAATCTACAGTCTGGTTATCAGTTAGATTCCTAACTGCCTCTGAAAGGCCAAAGGAAAATAATGGCGGGAGTATCCTGTGCTTTTTTTCCAGCCGCAACACACCAGAGTGCAGTTCCAGCACCTCTCAGGTTGGCGCCATTGTAGGTCAGCACTCCATCTCCCCCCCCACACACACTTCTTGCCTTTACATACAGTGGTACCTTGGGTTAAGTACTTAATTCATTCCAGAGGTCCATACTTAACCTGAAACTGTTCTTAACCTGAAGCACCACTTTAGCTAATGGGGCCTCCCGCTGCCGTCGCGCCGCTGCTGCGCGATTTCTGTTCTCATCCTGAAGCAAAGTTCTTAACCTGAAGCACTATTTCTGGGTTAGCGGAGTCTGTAACCTGAAGCGTATGTAACATGAAGCATATGTAACCTGAGGTACCACTGTACTTCTGAGAAGCCCCAGATGAACATTTCAAGTCAAAATCACAGCTGGCCAATGTGTTCTTTAATATCTATTACTCCACCTAGCTGCTAGCCACTCCTAGCTGTGATTCGTAAAGCTACGGATCGGGGCCAATTTGTATTTCCTTTTCTTCAATCCATCTCCCATGTAGTGGCGGCAGGCTTTAAGCTTTTCAGCAAGGCCTCCACCATTGCCCATGCGCACGTTTGCGCGAGGGCCCTTCCAAGCTGCCCTAGCCATCTGCCTGAATCTAAGAGAATGAATGAGGAGGGAGCCTACACCAGAATCAGGGGGGACCCCCAAACCAGTTTTCTGTAGTTTTTAGCACCTCCATGGGTGGTGAATGCAGCTGTTGTCAAACGGCATCTCTTCAGGGCTGCGCCGAGTAGCCTGGTGACTTTCTGTAACAACTTCATGGTGAGTTCCGGCACCTATTTTCTTGCAAGGGTGGGGAAGCAGTGGTGGTGGTGAGGTACACTAAAGAGAGAGTGCCTTGTGCCTGCATGTGTGGTCAGTGTGCATGCTGTATATGTGTTTGTTGTGTGCAACATGCATGGTGCTGGTGTGAGTGTATATTTGCCGTATGTGTGATGAACACACATGTGGGTGCGAGTGATGGAAGCCTGCTGGGAAAGGTTAGGTAAAGGTAAAGGGACCCCTGACCATTAGGTTCAGTCGTGGCCGACTCTGGGGTTGCAGCGCTCATCTCGCTTTATTGGCCGAGGGAGCCGGCGTACAGCTTCCGGGTCATGTGGCCAGCACGACTAAGCTGCTTCTGGCGAACCCAAGCAGCGCATGGAAATGCTGCTTACCTTCCCGCTGGAGCGGTACCTATTTATCTACTTGCACTTTGACGTGCTTTCGAACTGCTAGGTTGGCAGGAGCAGGGACGGAGCAACGGGAGCTCACCCCATCACTGGGATTCGAACTGCCGACCTTCTGATTGGCAAGTCCTAGGCTCTGTGGTTTAACCCACAGCGCCACCCGCGTCCCTGCTGGGAAAGGTTAGCCACCCATAATAAGCCTTCCCCATATCTACCACATGTTAAATTGGCTGTTCTGTATTCACTCTTTCCCTGAACACCATCTGTTTAAAATAAGGTCTCCAGCAGTTGAAAGGAACACCAAACTAAATGTGTGACTTCTCAATTAAAAAATAAAAAATAACAACAGAGTTTTGACTGGAATGGGGTTCGAGGCACAATGGAACAAGGAGAGCTGGGATGACAGCATGTGAATGAAGAATACTCAGTCTGTTTAGGGTCTTTGCTGGGCACATTTAATTGCATTACTTGTTATCCTAGACTTCAGTTGGCAAAGTATGCCTTGTAAAACATAATTGGAAAAAATGAGATTGGGGGCTTTGGAAATTTCTTTGTTTGACATCAGGAAAGCGTGACTCAGGCTTTGGAGAATGCGGACCAAAAATTGCCCTGCACAGGAAGGACAGAATTCCCAGAAAAATTATGCATGAAGGAAATGCCAGGCTCTTAGTGTAGATGGCCATGCAAAGGTCTCTGGGCAGGAATCCAGATTCACACATACTGAATTTGTGACTGTTTTAATCTTTGTCAATAATGAAGTTTCCCCCTGTAGTACATCTTAAACACAGCACACACTGGCGAAATGGATGTTAATTTTTCTATAATACAGACATTTGCAATGAATTAAATACAGTGGTACCTCTAGTTACAAACTTAATTTGTTCCGGAGGTCCGTTCTTAACCTGAAACTGTTCTTAACTAGAGGCGTGCTTTCGCTAATGGGGCCTCTTGCTGCCGCTGCGCCGCCGGCACACGATTTCCGTTCTCATCCTGGGGCAAAGTTCTCAACTCAAGGTAACACTTCCAGGTTAGCAGAGTTTGTAACCTGAAGCATTTGTAACCTGAGGCATTTGCAACTCGAGGTACCACTGTATGCTTGTATCATCTTATATTCAGAAGGCCTTTCTGCAGCAAAATCCAATCCATCACTACCATCTTTTAACTGCCAGCTGAAAGAGAGGTTTAGGAAGAGAAGGGTTTCATTTGCTCCAGGAAGGCCTTTTGGTGCATTGTGGTGAAAACAGGTTTGCATCTAAATGGTAAATGGAGCAGCTTCTTCCCATTAGTAGTCCCAGAATGAAATCCTACTTGTTTTGCAGTTTTAGGGCACCATGAAACAGCATTTTCATCAGATGGTTCTCTCAGTTATCTGCATAAATTTGCAATTTGCTGTGCTATCAATACATTGTAGAAGATGTCTCGTTTGGAGCACTTTGTCAGCAGCACTGATACTGCTGAAATTTGAAAAAATTAAGGGTTCTGAATGTGCATTTTCCCAGCTCACAGTTCCCAGATGTATTCCAAGAAGATCTCACTTGTCCTGAAATCCTTTGTCTACATGGAATTTAAATGAAAAGTATTATGGGTTTATGTGCCAGGTTTGTGCTTGTGCAGTCTACATTCATTAGGTTAGGCACTCAAAGCCAGCAGCAATGTTGGTACATGTTCAGAAGTTAATTGCTTTGATCCTTATCTTGATGACACTCTGGTTTATAGACTAAAACTTTAAAAAATGGAAATGTAATTTACAGAGCAGTACCTTGGCTCCAGTTGTGAGCAGTCAACTGCACCTGGAATTTCCAAGTTTGAAAAAGTCATGTATGCCTCAAGAGCATACATGTCCTGCATGAAGCCCAATCTTGGCAAATAAAAGACGAGCAAGGAATAGATGCAGGTGGGCTTGTGTGCAGGTGGGCAGTATGGCTGAGGGAAACCTCTTGCCAGAGACTGTGCTGACATTCCTGTCCCCCACACTTAATGGTGTTGAAGAACATGCATGCATCTTTTAAACTTTCTTGTATAAAGAGTCACATGCAAAAAGCATTCTGAGACTATATGGATATAAATATTAATAGCTATTACACACACAAACAGACCGAGATATTCTCCAATAATGCTTTAAATTGCTGGTTTGATTCCCAGTCAAGCTGATGGGAGTTGGCTCATTGCTGACTTCAAATGCAGAGCCATCCCTGCACCACATGGCTATGACTCCTCTTGCGTAGACCTGTAGATTGTCACATTAGAGACAAAACACTGCTATTTAGTTATTCTAAAGTGTTTTGTCTCTTTCTTTTTCTATTGGCCCTATTTTCATATAAGGAATGTCGGAGGGTAAGGATGGAGAAATAATGTGATCTGCTATAAGTCAGATTCCATTGTCCCTATGTGATTCCTCAAATCACAGCTGTGGGCCCATCCTTATACCCGCTTTTTAAATGTTAGTTACTTAGAGCAGTGGTTTTCAACCGATGTGTTATGGCACCCTGGGGTGCCTTGAATGATGGTCAGGGGTGCCACAGGCAACCCTGGCCTCTGTCCCTCTTTTCTTCCCTCCCTTCCTCTGATGTCCTCTCACGTTTCTGCCTCCCAAAGGCTTGCACAGCTGTTGCAGCAGCCCTGCTACAAGCTCCCCAGGCAAATGGTGCCTCTGGGGCTGGCCAGGGGGTGCTGGTTTCCAGGAGCAGAGTTGACTTCGGAGTAAGCAAGCAGGCGAGGGAGCCCAGCCAGCCAGTCCACCAGCCCTTGCTGTTGGAAATAGACAGAAAAGTCCCAGGCCCCTGTGGGGCAGTGTGAGGAGGCACCTCTCTTTGTGGCAGGGGGCAGCTCAGAGACCAGGGGCAGTAGCAGTGGCTGCCCAGAGGACTCCCAAGGAGAGGGGAGAAGAGAGGAGGCTGAGGGAACACTCCACAAGGGAAGGGTGTTCATAAAAATGGTGAGAGGCTGCCAGCTCTGCAAGCAAGGGGTGACATAACAGAGCTCCTGAGCCCCACAGGGGTGCCAAAAAAACAATGCAGTTGGGCAAGGGAGCCGTGGACTCAAAAAGGTTGAAAACCTCTGACTTAGACTATTAAGGTAAATAAAACAGCTTAAACTGGTTTGTTTGATATTCTTCCACAGACACTAACTATGTGCACAAACTATGGGATAGTATACAACACGAGAGATTGACTTTGCTGTTTCTATATTTGTGTTTGGTTCACATCTTTGGTTTTGTAATCTACTATGTGATTTCCAAATGCCTTCTGTTATTCCAGAGTTTGGTCTTGGTTTAATTTGCTGTCTCACTTGGGGGTCTTACATCTCTCAGAAAGTATCGCTCAGTATAAGGTTACATATTCCAAGGATTCATTGCATACTGTAAACAAAATCAAAAGGTGTTTGGTTTCTGTGCCTTCTGTTTAAATGATTGTTTGCAACTGACTCAAAATACATTCCTGAGAGCTGAGCAACTGCTTCCATAAAAAAGTACAATAGCAGGGATTTATCTCCCTTTTCCCTTCAAGAGTGAGGCACTCAATTTGTGTCAGATCATATCCAATCACAGGTTCTTTTTGCACTGATACCAGGAAGATGATGCTATGATAAATTATATACCTTAAATGGAACCTAGACAGGTTTACTATGAACAGATCTAGCACAAACTAAATTAATTCTCAACCAAGGTAATCCAGATATTGTGCAAAGGAACAGTACAGTGGTGCCCCGCAAGACGAATGCCTCGCAAGACGTAAAACTCGCTAGACGAAAGAGTTTTCCGTTTTTTGAGTCGTTCTGCAAGACAAATTTCCCTATGGGCTTGCTTCGCAAGACGAAACGTCTTGCAAGTTCTTGTGAGTTTGTTTCCTTTTTCTTAAAGCCGCTAAGCCGTTAATAGCCGCTAAGCCGCTAATAGCCGTGCTTCGCAAGACGAAAAAACCGCAAGACGAAGAGACTCGCGGAACGGATTAATTTCGTCTTGTGAGGCACCACTGTATTTGCAAAAGAACTCCTCCTCCTGACACCTGTTTGATCTTGAGATTTATCTATTTAATTGGTGCTAAATGCATATAAGAGCATGAATCTGTTGCAAGGATCATCTAGTTCACTGTTCCCTATCCTATAGTGGTCAACCATATACTCCTGCTCCCTCTGTGGCAATCAAAAGTATCACTGCTTCTGCCTGCAGTCTGAAGTGAAACAGTCCAGAATTTCTACCAGCTTAGTTTATCACTTCATTCTGAGTCACTGAAATTGAGGATTGAAACTTCCATAGAGGGCATGTGCTATTGTCAACTGGAATCCTATACACACTTACCTACTGGTAAATCTCACTGAACTCAGCTGGTTTACTTCTGAGTAAACATGTACAGCAGACTTGCCCTGTAAATGCCATAGCTCTTTCCTAGAAACTGATGGAAACGCACAAGAGACAGTAGCAGCCTTTCTTTTCAGAGACTTGCTTTAAGAAATCCTTCCGCCATCTTGGAAAGTATGCAGTCCTAAATTGTACAAATGGAATTCATTGTGACTTTGCTTGGTACTAATACGTTTGGCATTTGGAAGTGCTTGGTATGCATTAGAACTCTCTCTGCGGAAACAATACCTTTGTGCAATTATTTCTTGTAATCCCCTCCCCCAGAAGAGCTCCCCCCCTTACAGTTGATGAAATCTTTCTCTAAAGGTCTCCATCTTAACTTTCCATAACAGACAATGCAGCAGATGAGTGACCACCGCTACGACAAGCTTACAGTTCCTGACGACGCTGCAGCAAACTGTATATATTTAAACATTCCTGGCAAAGGTCACATCTTGTTGCACCGAGCCCCTGAGGAATATCCAGAAAGTGCAAAGGTAAAAAAGCAAATAGAATAAAAGCTCCTTCTTACAAGGTGCCGATCAATGCTAAACTAATAGTGGATGTGTAAGGGAAGGTGTGGAACGTTACTTTAGCCGTGCCTTCAAATACTAGCCATTTCTACTCCCCCTTGCACCGAAATGCTTCTGTGCGTTAAAGAGGAAAAAAGGAGTGGAAAGGTGAAAGTTTTATGTGCATGGTGCTAGCAAAAAAAATTAAGCAATGGGTCTTGTGCTGTGAATTCCAACAGCTTTTCTTAGCTGCTCCAGGTGATGGCACAAAGGTCGCCATTTCCAAGGATGTACCTGAGGGCAGAGCATTTTTGTATCATTCACATGTGTTTTCATAACTAAGCATAGGAGACCTGGTCACAGCTCCTGATGCTTAAGTTGATCCTTCATAGCTCTTGTAAGTTTTCCATCATCTCTGCTCTGTAAAGGATTCAGAGTGCAGGTTTGGGATACTTGCTGCTACTGTAGTACTGTTTGGTTTAATCAGTTCTATAAGTGATGCTGACACATGCTGCAATTTTTAATCACCTGATAGTTGTGCAGGTCTTTCCTTGGTTCACGCCATTAGTGCGCTTGCATTTTTTGCTCCGATGAATCATTTTCCTGTATCCCCTTTCCAGTTTTAACAATTCGCTGGACCAAGAGAGGTTTTTAACCAGGCCTCCAGAAAGCGCTCCCCCTAAAGGCCTCTTTTTAGCCCTCGTCAGACTGAAATATGTGCTCCCAGTGTGATCTGGGAGCTGTAGACTTGTGTGTGTGAGAGAGAGAGATTTCCAAGTCAGAACAGTGGGGGGAGGCATAAGTAAATATGTAACCAAAGCACAATTTTAGCAGCGCAACCTCTTATTTAAATACTTAGAAACCGTTTCTGTGAGAGTAAGAAATTCGCAAATATAACACCTTTCCCCTCTTGTTTCTTTTCCCCCCCTAAATAGGTCTTTGAAAAACTGAAGGACCACATGTTGATTCCTATAGCGAACACAGAGCTTGAAAAAATAGATGGGGCGCTCACTTGTTGTTCTGTCCTTATTAATAAAACTTCACAATTATGAGTTTACAGACTTCCTCCCTTGTAACTGGCAATAACGTACATGCAAGGCAGACGAATCTGTACCCACTTTTTATTGGTTCCCTTGACAATCTACTGTACCACTGTGCTACTAACCTTTGTTTACAATGGTGCCCTTTCAGGTGGTAATTAAGGTGTGTGTGTGTATATATATATATATATCTGCTTTTTTTCTGATGTAAAAGGACTCTGCTGCATGTTTGTCTGGACCATTATGACGATTAGTGGTTTATATAGTTGGTGTGAAACTGATCTAGAAAGCAGACACAGGGGGCCACATCTAATATTACTTTTAACTGACACAAACCTTATGACCCAGGTCTTAAATGCTACTTTATAGAGTGCTCAGGTGCATATTGTGTACATTTCATTCCCAAGGCATGCTTTAGGTGCAGGATTCCAAATGTATGAAGCAAGTCAAGTCCCCTTAACGGCACATGCAGACAGGTGCTAGAGAAAGTATACCTTTTTGAATTTAGCCTCCCTTCACACAAGCCAGCTTTATTGTTGCATTGTGTCCAGCAGTATGCTGATGACTGCCTACCTTGTACCCCAATGTAATACAGGGGTTAGGGGCCGATGGTCCAACACTTTGCTTCTGCTGATGTTGACTTCGTCACGGGAATTTCAAATTTGTTCCCATAAGGGCTTTCTCATCTTCTTTCCCCATTGATCTGCCTACCTTCCATCCCAGGTATTCATGGCCAAAAAAATGACCTTTAGAAACAACAACAAAGCTACGGGTTATCTTCATGTTAGAAAAGAGAGATGGCAGAAGGAAGGGGCTAACTAACTCTTCTCCCTTCTGACCACTTTTAAAAACTAAATATTGGTCTTCAAGCATCTTTTCTACCTTCTGGAGAAAAGTTATGGTGTATATTTTCTCCTGTGGGTAAAAAAGCAGCTTGAGGAGGATTTGGGGGGGGGGGGTTAGATGTGAAAGGCTTTAGCAACCCCTCCCCTGCTTATTCCTCCACTTGGACTTGAAGATATCCACAGCTGTTTTTCTTTACTAAAGGACTACATGTGACTGCCATGTAACTTCTGCCATGTAACTTCTATAACCTCAGGCTTAAGCGATAGCTGGGACATAAAGGGCTCAGAGTAATACCAATGCCTTTAACTGGGCATGCATTAAGATGGATTTCACGCCCTCAAATCAGACTGTTACACTTTGGTGGCCTCTAGTCATTTCCCCTTGAATTTTGGGATGCTTGCTCATTAAAGCAAGATCTTTGCGCCTGTGTTAGGTGGGTTGCTTTTGTGCTTTGCTGAAGGCATCTGTTGGGATTGAAATTTACATAGCGTGCCATCACGCATGAGGCTTATATTAGTTCTTGCTTCAATCCATTTTTAATGTAAATGTGAAATCTACATTGGCCGCAATACTCATGTTGCAAAGGCCTCTAATGAACATCTATAGCTGACATTGGTTCTGACGTCTGTGCTCATTAAGAGTAATGCAGAATTCAGCCTCGGTTTTATTCATCCCTGACTTTTTCTCTTTTGTTCTGTGTCTCGTTTTTTCTTCTCCTTCTCCCTCCCCTTCTACCTTTGCCTTCTGTTTCTCTTGTCTTCTCTCTCCCAGAAATCCCTATTATAGGTAACTAAAACAAAAGAAATTTGATAGCATCATGAACCTGGGCTTCTGTGTAGTCCTTTTTAGAGTACCAGCTGCAGTGTGAAATGTACTGTGTTTTATTATTCCACAGTATTGTGTTGCTGCTCATGCCATGGAAGTGCATTAGAAGAGAATCGTGAGCAGAATCTATTGCAAACGGCGGGTGGCACCTAGGGGAAAAAGTGTTACTGCAGAGGAGGATTCTCAGGGGGATTTCATTCTGATAGTCTTGAATTTCAGCAAGGCTTAAACTACTAGTAAATTTATCCTAGTGTATCCTAGAAGCTGAGACAATGGTCTCTTTGTTTATCCACTGGATAGGCAGGTAGCTCATAAATAAATCTTATATCAATCTTGTTCTAAGAATAATCCACGTGTTTATGTGAATCTCAAACTTAATGTTCTGACACCCGTACAGTCGGCCTTAACAAATGATGTTAACAAATTTCTTCTTCATCTCACCTTCACCTATTTTGCTTTACTTTTCATGGTTTTTTTTGTTTTGAATTTTCATTTGATCAAAGGTCTTCTGAGAGCCAACAGTGAACTTCCTGGGAAGTTTTGGTAGTGAGAAAGAGATTACAGGAATTCTAGTTGCAGAAGTTTTGCTTTGGTTTTTTACTGTGGTGTATTCCTTCGAATAAGGAAGAGAGTTGTCTTCCAGCAGGCTGCCATGACTACTCTGTCTAAGCTTTCAGGTTGTTGTGCTCGGAACAATGAATATCTTGGATGATTTTTCTAACTTTTAATTGTGTGACTGTTTACTATGGAATTCAGCTGAAAGAAATATTTCTTATGGTAAATTCTGCAACACACTTAAGGCCTTAGTCATATGTTTTTTCACCACACACACAAAGGATATAGACAATTGCATTGTCTTGAAACCTGTTATGTCATTTCAAAGTATGGAGATACTATCTAGCTCAAGTAGCACTAGGAACTCTCCAAGGGCTGACATACGGTCTGAGTATTTTATCAACTTCCTGGTTAAGGCCACTATTCTCCAATGCTAATTCTGTCTAGTTGCTGAGGTGTCATAGAAGGAAGGAAGACTGGGTAGCCGAGTAATAAGGAAAGAATCTCCGAAACTATTTAACCTTGTAGGGAATCCAAGAAATGTAAACTGGAAAATGCTACCAATACCATCCTGTTGCCTTTTAGAAGGATTAAGTATACTTAAAAACTCTCTGGTTCGTGATTCTTTTGCCCTTTCATTTCTCCCTTTTGATGAGAAATTATACTGCGTCTTATTCACTTGTCAGGTATTGCTCATGTTCCATCAAGCCAGAAGCCTTAGAATGAGTTTACATGAAATTTGTGAAGTGAAATAAGCATTCATGAAAGAGGCAGTGCTGATTCATATGGGAAGGGTTTTATGCGGTAAAGGGAATTAATATGAAAGCAATGCATTTCTTTCACCATTTGGAATTCAGTTTATAAGAGAGAGAGAAAATAGTGGAAGAATTGCAGTGATTTTTGTGACAATATATCCCTGCAAGGAAAAATGAAATAAAAACAGCTGCAGAAAGCCACTCTTCAAGAAGTCATCATCTCTCCAGCTGAAGGAGAGGAAGAGTTATGAAGTCATCTTCCCCAAACACAAGCCCCACAGCCCAAAGGAGGAGAGTTCCGCTCTGTTATGTTTCAGTGGACGCCCTGTCAATCAGTCAATCAATCAGTCTCCTTTACTGGCATGCAGGGACCACTTGCCACGGAAGTAAAATCTGCAAATTCTTGTGAAAGGGTCTTCATCTTTGATGCTTTCTTTTGTCTCTGCATTCCAGCTTCAGAGCTGTGTTGTCAGTACGCCAGGCATATATCTTTCTAATTGAAGACTTGTAGATTATGTTTCTCATCTGCTTTTTGTGTATAAATTTGTGTGATGGGTTGCCTCTGCCGAGCTCTTGATAGTTCATTGAAGGCTTTTTGGGCACATAGTTTAATTAATTTTATTTATGGATAAATTCATATGTTGCGCTCCAAAACCAGTTTCTGTATTGTTTCCGAAACAAACAAACAAAAATGGATTGCTATGCCTGATTATGCAACAGTTCTAGGATTGCCAGCTGATTTTTATCATTATGGTCCAGGAAATTACTATCACGCCCGGTATCAAGAAACATCCCTCCACAATGGGGGGATTTTCAGAATTTAAAGGGTGTTAATGTAGAGTGAGAGAGACTCATTTAGATCTTTATATGTGTGCATACTTTGTATTCTTCCAGCAGGTACATTTCCCTTCTCGTTATTGTGTGCCACATGGAAGCATTTGTAAACACTTGGAAATCTATGCTCCAGAATCAATGTTTGTAGTTCAACTTTGTAGCATAGCAAATTCCTTTCTGAGGCTGGAACTAGACTCTACAGCTAATGCAGAGCTATTGCCAAAGCCAATTCTCCCCTTCAATATCTAGAGGTTTGTAACATAATCACAATAAGTATCCTTATATGTTATGGGTGGGGTTGGGGAAAAGGAAAAAGGGTATGGAGCTGTTGCTTTCAGCTACTGCCCGCATCTACCTAATTTTGGCCTGAAGCACTGAAACTTTATCTAAATAATTATTTAAGCCTATGTTTGGCAGTTGTGCAATCTGATTGCCCATTGTACAATCAGTAGACTCAAATGGTAAGACCTTTCTTACACACCACTGCTTCGAACTTTGTTATTGAATATTCCATTATAGAAAATAACCATGTATTCAGAAAACTGCTATTTCCATTGAGGGTAGTTCAGCCTGGCCTCCTCTCAGTCCTGATATGTTATAAAATTCTTCAACGTGTATGTTGGGGACATTTTTTTTAAAAAAAAATGCAACACCCTTTCCCTGAAGTGTAGTCTAGATTGGTAAGAGTCCATTTACCACCTGTTGATTCAGCTGGTAAGGTAAAAGTAAAGGACCCCTGGACAGTTTAGTCCAGTTAAATTCAACTATGGGGTACGGTGTTCATCTCTGCTTTCAGGCTGAGGGAGCTGCCATCTGTCTATAGACAGCTTTTTCGGGTCATGTAGCCAGCATGACTAAACCACTTCTGGCGCAGCAGGACACCATGCCAGAAGCCAGAGCGCATGGAAACGCCGTTTATCTCCCCGCTGCAGCGGTACCTAGTTATCTACTCACGCTGGTATGCGTTCAAACTGCTAGGTTGGCAGGAGCTGGGACAAAGCGACATAAACTGGCCCTTAACTTCTGATAAAATCTAAAATGACCTCCCTTGCACTACCCAATTCAATGTTCGGAACTGCTTAAATGAAAAGATGGCAAGCCTAGCACTGTTGTATTCTGCAACTTACTTTGTCCCACTGTTTCCTCTGTCATCCATGTCCTGCCCAGAACTTTACACTTTCCCCCCAAACACTTTGG